GGGGAAATTGCCTGCGCCCTCGCGTGTGTGGTCGATGTCGAGGTAGGAGCCGGTGGGGCCGAACTCGGGCGATTCGAGGAGGATGGAGGGCCACGGGTGGTTGGTGAAGGCTGGCTGGCTGATGAAGAGTTTGGACCATTGACACCAGGCGGCGCTGAGGAGGGTGATCCAGATGAGGGGGTAGGTGGTGTAATGCATCTGGTGTGTTGTCAGTGTCTGCGGTACATGCTGGGTGCTTGGAGGCCACTCACACTTGCTTGCTCGTTTGAGCTGGTATGAGCTGGTATGAGCTGGTATGAGCTGGTATGAGCTGAGGGGATGACGAGAAAGAATGATCGAATTAAGTGGTTGGCGAGGTGAGGATACTGTTGTTGCTCTCCTGGACGCTCTCTTGGAGGAGGTTGTCAGGCTTCGGTGGCCATATCGTGGACATTCTCCTGCCTCTTAAACCTCAGGTGCAGTAAATCCTCAGGGAAGGAGCCAGCTGCCACGTAGTGAGAGTTGGAAGAGCAAGCACCGAGCGTGCATCTTCCAAGCGAGGTGAGTACTATGCTGGTCCTACCTGCTAGATCATGGTGCAGCTGCTCCAACAATGGCAAGATGCCTTTGCCATCACAGTCGGTGCTGAGCAGCTCAGGGGACCGCCAACAACAGCCAGTGCATTACATGTTTCATTTTCCGCTGGGTGTTTCTTCGCAGACAAGCAAGCGAGGATAAGTATCCCTTATGAACAAAGTAGTACTGCGAGTAAGTCGCTTCGCTTGGTCACAAGACTGTCATGTTAAATGCAAGAGCTGAGGAAAGTACAACCTCTCCAGCCATTGGCCGACATAGCATATATAGATGCCTACCCGATTCCTAAAACAGTATACCTAGCATATTACTAGGTAGGCTGCCATCAACAGCATCCCCCAGAACAACCACACCCGCTCTCCGCTCGCGAGTCAATATACTGTCAGTATAGTTCACACCGTTTCACTCGGCTACTTGGCAAACCCACGCTCCTCGGTTGTCGAGCTTTATTCCCCCTTGGCAATCGTCTGCGCCTCAATGGATTCACAGCATGCTCGTAGCGCATGCTCTGGCCCATTGGCAATACTTCAGAAGTGTCAAGGACCAGGTAAGTACCGTCCGCGGGCTCCGAGCATGATGGATCGATTTCATGTGATACGAGGCAGCATACGCTCGCTCCACTCCTGATTCATTTGTGCATGACCGGGCGGCTTGGAGGACTTCATATCCTCTAGAGAACCATGGGATTAATTCCGTGAGGTATACAATTCCATACCACGTATCTTTCCCTACTATTCCAGATCTCGACCTCTCTCCTCTGTGGATATATATTTCACCTCGTATGTGAACATAAGCAAACCACAACAAATCTACCCGCAATAATCCCATAAGCACAAACGCCCCAAACCCAAGAACACGAAGAAACATGCTGCCTAAACCTCCTTCCGCGTCCCCCCCCCCCAAAACCTCAAAACTTCATCAAATGGCAACCCACCCCGCCGAGACGGTCTCGACCAACTAGCCGAGTCCCGCCGAGCTCGTTAAATCTCCGGCCAAGGATTCCGCATATGAGTTTTGACGCGAGCTATCAACCCCCCATTGGGAGATTTCGCTCAGTGAGCGGCACTCAAACCTCCTGACTTTTTGACTTGGTTTTTGTGGAGAACTTTGTTCTCCTGTTTTCTTGTTTTGCTGGTATTCGATCTTGGATTTGACGGTCGGTCGGCCTGGGCTCGGTTAAGGGGATTAGATAGACAGGTACGGTTACCGGTCGCGGGGGGGGAAGTTGGGTCTAGAGCGAGAGTTGGTGGGACCGTGCTTCGATCTGTGCGCTGACGTCAGTGTTAGGGTTTTCGTGTCTGGTTTGGGGACGGAGGGGATGGGGTGGGTTCTTTTCTGGGTAATAAGGGATTGGAAATGTGAACTTCTGTGTGTATGGTTGTGGATGCGATTAATCTATGATTGTTTTTGTTTGTGGGTTGACCAGGATTGATGAAGAAATGGAGGGGCCGGTGATAGACCACTCCCGACCGGGTTCGGAGGGAGGGAATATCCTACACATAGGCAGAGTATTCGGTTCGGCAGTTATGAGTATATATCAGTTGAAATGCGTTGAAGTATAGAAAAACAGTCGAAAGCATAATTGATCAAGATCTTATCTTGATCGCAGTGTTCTGCTGCTGTAATGTCTGGTCTACTTTCCTACACATACTTGGGGGGCATCGGTGCGCCGAAGGTTCGAGGGATACCCCTAGTAACCACTCCTTCCAGCCATACCTACAGATGTCAATCGCAACAAAACCAATCATCACCGATGCAGAAAGCGACAGGAAGTTTGCATAATCAGACTTGGCTCTTCTTCATACGGAAATGCAGGGAAATGAGTCGGTTGGCTAAAATTAGCGAAGGGGACTGCCTAAAATTAGCGGAGGGTGGGTTGAGTGGATGGGGGAAGGAAGGGAATCTTGGGTGTTGTGTTGGCATGTCTCAGCTGCTGCTTCTTGGCTGTTACCATACCTGCTCTCCATCCAACGAATGGCACAGGCAAAGCCTTGGGAGCTCTGAGACAGGCAGGATACAGAGTCGTCGTAAACCCCCCAAAGCCTATTCTTCTGGGCGTTTGCTCGGCCATCGACGGAGGGAGGTATTTGGGGACACAACAAGGGAAAAGAGAAGGGGGATAGGGGGACTGGGAGGAGGTCAGACATGCTGAGGAAGGAACCAATCCTCGAGTCAAACCAGCTCGGAGATGATCTGCTTTCGCACGGCAGGGAAACGGGATGGCTGCATCGATCGGTAACCTGAAGTGCTTGAGAGAGCCGGGGGATCTTCCCCTTCTTATACGTTAACATGATTACACATAGTATGTTTGAAGAGGCTGAATTGTTTGATCTGGTCCTTGGTGCTTAGTCGACAGTTGAGTACTGAGTATTTTGCAGGGCGTGGAAGTACATACACCAAGTACAGTGCAATATGACAAGCCACTTCCAGTGAGCACGGCAGGGTCTCACTTCGTTTCTCTTTCCCGCCCAGGGACTGGATTTGTGGCTGGACCCACTGGGGGCCCCCCCTTCTTTCCTTGGCCCGGCCGGGGTTCAGGGCTTTTCAGGGCTCCTCAGGGCTCCTCAGGGCTCCATCTCCACTCCATCCATTCTTTGCGCCCTTCCCAGGTACAAGGACGTCATGGTCGACCTCAATTGGTAAAATTGGTAACTGAAAGAGACACAGCAGAGATAGAAATTCACCAGAAGGAAAACACCACTTCAAGATACTGTTCCTCAGTATTCAACAGAAAATAACAACCCGTTGCACACAATGGAATCCACTCTGCTGTCCTATGTATAGTCCAGTCCGTCCCTGGCTGGACCCTGATCCTGCAGGCCTGCGCTGGGGGGTGATCTGACGATCGAGACAGCTGATAGGCATCCGGTAGACCCGCCCAGCAATTTCCCACACATACTGAAATCCCTTGGCTGCCTCATCCGGCAATCCAGGCATTGGAGACATTGTGTGACACGCGCTTCTTTGTGGCAACCTGGGTTATCCTTACTGTTTTGAATCTTTGAATGGGGCAGACGGCTCAGGGATGGAGTGGATGGCTGACACTGCCTGCCTTGGGCTGTCTGCTCCAAGTTACCCTTTAAGGGTCCTTCGACCCTGCACCACCACCACCACCCCCTTCCTTACTTTTTCGACTTCTCTTTCTTCTCTCCTCATCATCTTCTTCCCCTGCCTTGGGTTCTTTCCTCTACTATCCCTTCAATCGTTCGTCTTTTTTTTTTTCCTCTCTCCCCATTTCAAGTCACTCGTTCAGTCTTATTGACCTCTTCTCGCCTGCTTTCGATAGCCGCCAATTCTTCCAAGCTCTACCCTCCCATCAACTATATCATACTCTGTTACATAGCAGGTCTCCATTCGTTCCCGAGACTCACCCACCATCCGGCTTGTTTTCTCCCATCAAAGCACCTCGACTCACACAATCCATCAACATGAAGGGCTACGCTATCGCGACAGCCATCACTTTGGGCGCCTCCACCGCTTTGGCTGCTCCGAACCTCAAGGCCCGTGACGATGTGACTCCCATCACCGTCAAGGGTAATGCCTTCTTCAAGGGTGACGACCGTTTCTACATCCGTGGTGTCGACTACCAACCCGGTGGCTCGTCCAAACTGGCCGATCCCATTGCCGATGCCGAAGGCTGCAAGCGCGACATCGCCAAGTTCACCGAGCTCGGCTTGAACACTATCCGTGTTTACTCCGTCGACAACTCCGCGGATCACGACGAGTGCATGAACGCTCTGGCAGATGCTGGCATCTACCTGGTTCTCGACGTCAACACCCCCAAGTACTCTCTCAACCGTGCCGACCCGAAGCCCTCCTACAACGATGTCTATCTCCAGTACATCTTCGCCACAGTCGACAAGTTCGCCAATTACAAGAACACCCTCGCCTTCTTCTCTGGAAACGAGGTCATCAACGACGGTCCCTCGTCGAGTGCTGCTCCCTATGTCAAGGCCGTCACGCGTGATCTCCGCCAGTACATCCGCAGCCGCAAGTATCGTGAGATCCCTGTCGGATACTCTGCTGTATGTAGTCACGTCATATCACAATGAGGAAAAGCACGGAAAGACTAACCAGGAATTTGTTTATCTAGGCCGATATCGACACGAACCGTCTCCAGATGGCTCAGTACATGAACTGCGGTACCGACGATGAGCGTAGCGACTTCTTCGCCTTCAACGACTACTCTTGGTGCGACCCGTCTTCCTTCACCACCTCCGGCTGGGACCAGAAGGTCAAGAACTTCACTGGATACGGTCTTCCTCTCTTCCTGTCCGAGTACGGCTGCAACACCAACACCCGCAAGTTCGAGGAGGTCAGCTCCTTGTACAGCACCGACATGACTGGCGTCTATTCCGGTGGTCTCGTCTACGAGTACTCGGAGGAGCCCAGCAACTACGGTCTCGTCCAGATCAAGGACGGCAAGGTCAGCACTTTGGATGACTACGATGCTCTCAAGTCTGCTCTGGCCAAGACCAAGAGCCCCACTGGCGACGGTGGCTACAACAAGACTGGAGGTGCCAACCCGTGCCCTGCGAAGGATTCTCCCAACTGGGATGTTGAGAACGACTCGCTTCCTGCTATCCCCGAGCCCGCCAAGAAGTACATGACCGAGGGTGCTGGCAAGGGTGTTGGATTCTCTGGCTCTGGTAGCATGAACGCTGGAACTGCCTCTACCAGCACCGCCACGCCTGGATCTGGCTCTGCCTCCTCGAGCAGTGGCTCTAGCTCTTCCGGCAGCGGGACTTCGACCAGCTCTCCAGGCGCTGCTGCTGGCCTGCACGTGCCCCACCTGACCATGACCCCTGTTCTTGTGGGCCTGGTCACCGTCATGTCGACCTTGTTTGGAGCTGGCATGGTTCTTGTTTAAATAGTTCATCTACCAGTGCATGTTTGCTCATGCTTGTCGATTCTCACCGAAAGCCCTTTTCTTCTTCAGACGGACCTTTTTCTCTCTTTCTTTGTCTTCTTTAAAGTCAATATGCAGCCAGATTGGTCGAAGCACTGTATTTGACGATAGCCGATTGCTAGCAGGGCAGATGGCGGATGTGGGTTGCCAACGAAGTGATATTAGAAGGCAGCTGTACAGGTGTTTGGTACCTACATTTTTAGCGCACGTCTCTCTGCATGTAGAGTAGTAATGAATTGATTTATCGAGGAAATTGCCCCGCTCAATAGAAGAAAAATTGATGAGTATGACCCTATCGCCGGTTGGTCGGCTGGTTGCCCTATCTCTTTCTTTCGGACACACTCTCTCCCCTGCCCAGTGGTGGGACCCGCCCGGAGGCCGACCGAGGTTTCCCCTCCCGAGTCACTGCGGATTAGAGTAATTTCCAGACTCCTCCTCTCTCCGTCTCCCAGCATCCATCTTCTCTGACACTTGGCTTGTCTCAGGATTTCGCAGGAGGCTTCACTTACGATATCATCCCGGTGGCCAGAAACAGCATATCTATTCTCAAAACCGAACAAAGTATCAGGTATGTTTTGATCTTGTCCATCCTCCGGTCCAGGTGCTTGCAGCCGCCTTGCTAAACAGACAAACCCCCTAGGCACCAACGACTGGAGTTGTAAATACTCCAAGCCTCTAAGGTGATAGACAGCTCTTGGCATCGTCACTATACCTGTCCGATATCATGACTTGGTGGGAACCGCCTGTCGACAATGGGGGCTGTCTTCCACCCACTGGGGACCTTCATTATTCATCCGACGCCCAGGGAGGCCAATAGGCGACGCGGGTTTTGTGATCAATCCACTCCGGCGCGAACTCCTGCCAGGAATTTGTTTGATATAGATGAGCTTGGCTCTTCCAAGGCACAGGGGTGCTATAACGCTCAAACCACCGATGTCTGCTCGTGAAACACACGCCGACTAGGGATGCTTGGCATGTCCCACTCCACCGCCGCTCTCCGAGAAACGCCCAGGGCCCGCCGGAAATTGCTTATTTTGCTTCGAAGCCACTCACAGCCTGGGTTCTAGACGGCCATATCGCTGGAAGGGAGCAGACTAGACGCCTTCGAGGTGGGCATGCGTGTCCACAATCAATATCTTCAATGCATTAGTCTTATCCTCTGACCACCCTTCAATCACCGTTACGCCTCCGCTTTTCCTCACACGATGGCCGGCCCTGTCCCCACGTCGGCCTCAAGGAGGATTCTATATGAATGCCGTGGTCCGCCTCGAAATGGACTTCCACCGGCTTTCAAACGTTTCAATCCATTCTCTCTCATTCTTTTCGGTCCTTCTTTTGTTTTTTCTTTCTTTCTCTTCTCTGGCAATTTCTTTTTGCCGCCACTCTTTTCCGGGTTGCTGCTGGGCCAGCTTTCCCCCTCAAGGTTTCTATCTCATTCTTCTCACCTTTGATTAGGTAACTTTCCGACCCTATCTGGTCTAAAGAATCTTTTGCTCGTTCTTCTCTTTCGAACAATTCGCTTCAGGATGCGTTCCTACATTCTTAGCGGCGCTGTGGCCCTGAGCTCCGCGCTCGGTGCCTCCGCCGCAGCCACCGCCACTTCCGCCTACAGTGATTCGCTTTCCGGCATGGACTTCCAGAGGTGGTGCGATTCTGATACGGGTTTCTGTTTCGGTATTGCGCTGCCCGAGACCGTGGAGAAGAGCTTCATCGGTCAGCTGAGTGTGCCTCTCGACAGCTCTAAGGGATGGGGTGGTGTCAGTATGTCCGGTTCTATGACCAAGGCTCTCCTCATCGCAGCCTGGGCCAACGGCGACTCTGCTGTCGGAACTCTCCGCGAGACTAGTGCCTACTCTAGCCCCGAGGTTTACAGCGGTGATGCCAGCATTCTCGAAATCCCCGAGGGAACCTCCGTCAACAGCACTTTCCTCACCTATACCTTCCTGTGCGAGAACTGCATTCTCGGCGAGCCTACCACCTTCGGCGCCACCGAAGACACCTACTACTTCGGCTGGGGTCTCGCTACGACCAGCCCTACTACCCCCTCCTCCGATTCTTCTGCCATGCCTTTCCACGGAGCCGGCTACGGTGGCTTCGAAGTCTACCTGTCCAAGGCCAAGTCGTCTAGCTACGCCACCTGGGCTGCGAAGGCCGTCTCGAGCACATCTACTGCCTCTGCATCCGCCTCGGTTACCAGCCCTTCTGCCAGCGCCTCGGCCAGTGTCGTCGCCACGGTCTCGAACACGACCTATGATTACATCGTTGTCGGAGGCGGTGCTGCCGGTATCGTTGCCGCTGAGCGTCTGGCTGAGACCAGCAAGAAGGTTCTGCTGATCGAGCGTGGTGTGGCTCCGACCACGGAGCTGGGTGCGACCGATGCTCTTTCGTGGAACTCCTCGATGACTCCTTTCGATATCCCCGCCCTCGGCAGCTCCCTCACCTCCCTCAACTTGATGGGCGACTACCTCTGCGACGATACTGCGGGCATGGCTGGTTGTGTTCTGGGTGGTGGTACCATTGTCAACGCCGAATCCTTCATCCACCCCCAGGAGGCCGATTTCGATGACAAGTGGCCCACCGGCTGGAAGTGGAAGGATATTGAGGCGGCTGCTAACCGTCTCTACGCGCTCAACCCCGGAAGCACTCTTCCCTCGGCCGACGGCAAGCGGTACGACCAGGGCATGTACACTGTTCTTTCCGGCTTCCTGAAGGGACTTGGATGGAAGTCTGTTGACTCCCAGAAGCAGCCCAACGAGAAGCACATGGTGTACAGTTACCCCTCCTGGGATGTCGGCAATGGTATCCGTGCTGGTCCCGTCCGCTCCTACCTCCCCTTGGTCCAGGACCTTGATAACTTCAGCCTTCGCACGAGCACCAAGGTCCGCCGTCTTGTACGCCGCAGCGCCCGCGTCACTGGTGTTGAGGTCGAGACCAGCTCTGGTGGCATCGAGATCATCAACCTGAATGCTGGTGGTAAGGTTGTCCTTGCTGCCGGTTCCATGTCTACTCCTCGCATCTTGTTCAACTCCGGTATTGGCCCCACTGAGCAGATCCAGACTGTCAAGAGCGGCAACACTGGCATCACCCTCCCTCCTTCCTCGGAGTGGATCAACCTGCCCGTTGGCCAGAACCTCCGTGACCACCCCATGTTCACCATCACCGTCAACACCAACAGCAACTTCACCCACTTCAACACCTCCAGTGTTGTTCCCGGCCCCAGCGCCGCCGTTCAGAAGCTTTTTGCTGAGGGCTCCGGTGTCCTCACCCAGGGTGGCCACCGTCTCCAGTTCTGGACCTCCAACGTTGGAACCGATGGCATTACTCGTTTCTACCAGGCTTCCTGCAGCACCAGCACGGACGGCGTTATCACCATGAAGCTGTACCTGACCCACGGTGCCACCTCGACCGGTGTCCTTGGCATTGACAGCTCCGGTACCACCACCCTCGAGACCGACCCCTGGTTGCAGACTGCCGCGGACAAGGAAGCCGTCACCCGCTTCTTCCAGAGCTTGATCGACGACATCAGCAACTCCACCTCCGGTTTCTCCATCTCGGGAACCTCGACTGCCTCCGGTATCCTTAACCTTATGACCAGCGGCGACCACTTTGTCGGCACTGCGAAGATCGGCACTGACGATGGCCGTGTCAACAACGGTACTTCTGTCGTTGATCTCAACACCAAGGTGTACGGTACCGAGAACTTGGTAAGGATGCCCTTCTGAATCGATGGCATCGCACAGTGAGCTAACCGTTTTCCTAGTATGTTGTTGATGCCAGTATCCACCCCGATCTGCCCACCGGTAACACCCAGGCGATCGTCATGATTGCCGCGGAAGCCGCTGTGGCCCGCATCATCGCTCAGGGCACGGACACCGTTAGCGCCGCCAGCTCGTCTATTGCTGTTTCTGCGGCTTCTACCGCTGCTGCCCACTACGCATCTGCTACCGAGTCCTCGGTTGCTGTCAGCGTTGCGACGGCTACTCCCGAGACCACCGCTGCCAGCGTTGCCGCCGAGGCGACCGCCACTGCTACCTCCGAGTCCAGCTCTGCTTCTTCCAGCTCTGCCTCCACCTCCGACGAGGATGAGGATGACGAGGACTTGCCCGACTGCGACGATGAGGACGATGACGAGGAGGAGACCAACCCTGAGGATAGCTTCTCGGGCTCTGTCTCTGTGACGGCCCACAAGGCTGTCGCTACCCAGGCTGGCTCCGGTGCCTCGACCACCACCGTGTGGGTGACCTCGACCGCCTGGACTACGACGACCGAAGCCGTGGTTACCACCACCACTTCTACCGTCACTGTCTGGCCCACCTACGCCTAGATAGGTTTGGGGATGGACTCTCTTGTCGACAGTGGTTGTGGTTGTATGTATATAGCCAGACTTTACCGTTCGATTCTCTGTATTTAGACGGACCGAATTTACTATTAGAATATTTGTGATGCAATGCGCTGGTCAATTTGAAGTAGAAGTAGTTGCAATTAAGCCATCCCGGTGACGACTGTACAATGCAAAGAGGACTGAGGCAGAAAACGCAGGGTAAATTAAATGAGAGGGAAAGGAAATTGGAAGGGGATGGGTGGCCTGAGGAAGAAACTGGCCGAAAGGCCGTCACATGTTTGGGCGCATTGGCTGATTTGCTCTTCCTCTTTCTTCTTCTCCGATCGGACGAAGATCAGCATTCACTGACACACACACACACACACACACCACGAGATTGAGTCTGTGCCTCAAGCCACGGACTTCTGGTTCCAACCAGTCGGAGGGTCCCAATTTACTACGAGCTGAGCACGGAGCAAGACCACGAAACCCGGCAAGAAGCGGCAAAGAAAAAGCAAAAGAGCTACGACATACTAGGTTCAATGAGGAACCGATGATGAAAAGCTCCGACCGGGGAGGACCGAAAGTGCGGCGTGGCCAAACAAGTTTGGAATGGATAATAAGCAACAACCACAACAACCACAACCACAACCACCACTTCCAAATGTCAAATTATTAAATCACGCAGGCCCAGATTGGCTCGTGCTCCAAGCTTCCGGTTTCCTTCAACTGCACTGCTGGAAAGCTGCTCAGCCACCTCCATCCCGCCATGGCTCGAGCTTCTCCCACACTTGTGCTCCTCGTGCAGCATGCTCGTTCTTAGGGGGATTGGCTTATCGGTCTGCAAGCTGTAAGCTGCGCGCCGCCAGGGTCTCGAATTTTTGATCTCCAAGTCCCAACCCAACCTTTGGCAAACCTTTTCCCTCCGATCATCAGCAGCTCGTACGGAGTAATAATCTCTTCGCAGTCGCAGTTCAAGAGTCAATTGCCGAAAATTCCCCCCTGCCCCCCTGTCGCTGCTTATTGCCTTTGATCCAAGGCAGCAGGAATATGATTGTAACTATAGCTAGTCTCCGCGAGAGGATTTTTCTAGGACCTGTTTAGATGTGTTGTTGTATGCGGGAATTTGCTGCACCATTCGGTTTTGCCCGCAACTAAGACGGATACGGCATCTCGTTACTAACGAATGTCTCGATATTTCGCTAGGGAAAATCCCGCATGCTAATCACTTTTTTTGTTAGGGCAATTATATCATCATGGACTCCGCGGCCAGCGGGAGAGAGGAGGAGGTGGAGGTGGAGGAAGAGGAGGAGATCGAGGGAGGAGAAATCAGCTAAGGAGGAGTTAGCCCTGGCTGGCTCTGGCGCACTGCCTTCGGATTACCTCTTTCTCTCTAAACTGACTACCTCCAGTACAGTAGCAGTCAGAACGTGGGACTTTGGGTCCATCCAGGAACGGACCACCCCCCCCCCAATAATGCGGCAAAATGAGACCCAAAAACCGCGCATGCATTCGTTTCCCTTGCACACGAAGCTCAGGACCTACCTACATACCCCCTCTCTCGCTACCAGCTACGGAGTACTTTCTTTCTCTACCGAGCTGCCTGTTTCTATACAGTACAGTCCTTGCCATCCATGTAGTCGATCCGTGGCTGTGCCCGTTCCCCATCCCCATGCGGCTTTGCCTTTTTTTGTAGTAACGCTCCATCTGGTGGTGTTCATTTCCCCCATCGGCTTCTCTTTTTTTTTTTCTCGCTCGCTGGTTTTCCCGCCCATCACTTATTGTTTGCTCTCACCTATAAATCCACTCCCTATCCGCCTGGGAATCATGGCCGCCTCTATTCCACTACAATATTCGTCCAAGGGATGCTCATCGACGGTGAAAAGTGGGCCTGTGAAGCTTGCGTTCGCGGTCACCGTGTGACTACCTGCAAGCACCATGGTAATATACATACCCTTGTGTGAATAGTATTCCAGTTCACCTGGCTAATTCCACCTCCGCACAGATCGACCATTAATTCACATCAACCGAAAGGGCCGTCCCTTTGCAACCTGCTCGGTCTGTAACTGCACGCCGTGCGAGGCGCCCGAGGATCACGCCAAGCTCAAACGTGAGGCCGACGCCAGATGTCAAGCATCAAAAGTAGAGCCATCCCCGATGTTCAGCACCCAGCCTTGATTGCAAGCCAAGAATGCAACCAAAACACAAAAGCCACTCTCCATTACATTCTGCGTTTTCCTACACATTCATTTCTCTTCCGTGATCCAGAGAACAGTCTAAGGCTGATGTGGGTTTTCCTTTGGCGTCTTGCTCTTTGTTCTAGAGAGCCGCTGGCAGATCTCCTCGTTCCACCTCGGTGGGCTCCCTGAAGCCGATTGCGCCGCGTCCTGTGCCGTCGTCCACGGGCGGTGGTAGCAGTAGTGGTGGCGCAGGAATCAGGCGCGACTCCCACTCTCCTCCGACAGGGGACTATGGCGATCATCGCCCTCGATCCACCATCTCCGCGAGCCCGCCACCACCACTACCTCCATCATCCCAGCTGTACCAGCAGCAGCAGGCACAGGGCCACGGTCTCATCCCCGGTACCCCCGGCAGCAGTCCCATCTACCTGCCTGGCACCAGCACCAGCACCAGCACCGTCTACCCGTCCCCATCATACTGCACGATAAGTGACATTCCCAGCTCGCTGAGCATGGTCAACCCGCTCGACTTCGAGAACGGAGTCGGGGTGTCCTTCGTAGACAGCGCGTCCGCCGCCGCGATCTACGCTCTCGAAGACCTGGACGTCAATTCTCTGCCCGCGGACGTCTTCCAGGGCGATTGGTCGTGGTTATCGTTATCGGAGGAGGCGGCCCTCCGGGACGAGGTATAACATTTGCAGACGGGCTGGATTTTTACCGGCTCGTCTACATCCAAAGGAAAGAAGAGAGAAGCGATTGTGCAAATGTTATGAGTCATGACGTATACGAGAACGATGGTGATGTTGTTGTTGCCGCTGTTTGAGCATGAGATAGCGATGGCTGTGGGGGAGCGGGGAAGATTTTTGGGTCTGCGAGGGAGCACAGAACCGTTAGCCCGTTGGGAATCTGTTGATATAACCGTCTGGGAGGGTTTCTGCTGAGCTTTGGGGGCGGGGGTGTTCGCCCCCTCGAATCGCAGGCTTTGTATATAGGTATATAGCAATGCGATATACAGCTGGCAGCCGAGCTCATCACAACGACAAAGATTATCCCAGCAACAGAGAAGATGAAATGCACCCCACGCATATCACCTATCGCTGATCACTCGATCTCTATACTCCTTACTACGGTGCCAAGGAGACTACCTCTCGCCATGGAGATAGGTACTGGGGTGTACCCCGGATGCCCATGGCCACGGACTCGGGATCTACAGTACTATGATTCAAGTGCATGGCAAGATAGGAGGGAGAGAGGGCTGGAAGAATCAGTGAAGGAATCTGTCGAGCTGAAATTGCGAGTTGAGTTTCGAGAAACGAGGCAAGGAGTCGGAAGGGGAGAATGATTGAGAGGAACAAGTACGCTGTGGATTATAACATGCCCACGTATATAACCGGGTTGTAGTCCGACCACTAATCCAAATCTCGAGGCTTGTGTTCGGCAAGCTAAGTACTATGCTCCTGCTACCGTCACGCTGTCTTAGGACAAGTCCCTGAAAAGAAGTATGAGTTCAGCTATGCTAGATTATGTACAGTATAACAGCACGGAGCACGGTATGTATTGTGTGGTATATGTACTGCACCTCCCGCCATCCCACCTCACCCTCCAACTAATCCAACTTAACAACTAGCTATCCATGAGCCGTACCTAGTGCCCTAAAGCCACATGCTACCTCCCAAATTCCTTCCACCGGGACCCTCCGTACCTGGAATCCCCACGTTCGTTTCCACCAACTGTCTAAACATCCTGAATATAGTTCGCCGGCACGCTCTTCGTCACGCCCCCCCGCTCTACATCCGCCCACCCATCCCCGCTATCCCGGTTCACCAGCACGAACCGGTCCCCCTCGCTCATACTCCATTCCATGTCGCTGCGGGCCTCGTAGTCGTACAACGCTTCCACGTAGGCCAATTTCTTGGCCCCGCGGCGCGGCGCCACGGCGGGGCCGATGCGTTTGCTGCTTCCTGCTGGCAGGGTAGAGGCCGAGGCCGAGGCGGAGGAGTTGGTTGAGTAGGTTGATGCGGGGCGTTCCATGGGGAGGACTTCGACGTAGGAGGCTGGGACGAGGCCCTCGTTTCCGGTTGCCGGGGTTCGGACGCGAAGCCAGCCGGATCCGTCTGTTTATGTGGTGATTAGCTTGGATGGTACAGAATAAAGGAGGCGGGAAGGGACGAGAGCAAGAGTTGTTGATGAAATTATATGGGAGGTGAAGGATGCGACAAAGTGATAATGACAAGAGTGGCTTACCATCTGGCTCTACAATGACGATGTCGTCCCCTTCTTGGACGGTGACTTCGTCATCACCCTGTGCTTGATACGGGTACAGCATCTTGCCCCGGGGTTCGGAAGAAGCCGGTTTGGAACTGAGGGTTGGGGTGGACGGAGGACTGTTGATGTATTGCGCCGGCGGTGGTGCAAGGACGCGGTTCCGCTTGGAGGCAGCCGCGGCAGAGGGTTTGGTCTCTGTGGCTGGAGGCGTTGGGGTTGATGCAGGTAACTCGGCAGTGGACGGGGAGAGACTGGTGGCGGTGGATAAGGAGCGGTTGGCACTGACGGCGTAACCGGAACTGAGCGAGTTCATGGTGTCTTTGCGCGTGAGCGAGGGCGCCCCCGTCGGGCCGCTGGATGACGACGGCTCCAGATCGAGAGTCGGGGTCGAGTTGGCCAGCTCCTGTCGCTCTGCTTTGAGCTTCTTCTTCTCCTCCTTGGTCTGCTCGCCCGGACATTCTGCCGGCACCTTCATCTCGCACTTGCTGTGGCACGTATAACCGCAGTCGCGGCAGTCGAAGCCCTTGGCTGATAGACCCCAGATGCGCTCACCGCAAAGGTCGCAGTTGGTGGGGATCTTGAATGTCTGCGACTTGAAGTTGTGATTGCGCGCCCCCAGCGACAGATCGCCTACCACGGACATGATTGTTGATGTCTCAACTTCGGCCGTCAGGCGTTTGCGGTCAAGCTCATGCAACGTCTCTTGCAGGAAGAAGATGGACCGGACTACTTCCACCTCGCTCCGTTTGTCCCTGCCCTGCTGGATCGCTTCGCGTACCTTCTTGGCCGCCTCTACCTCTCGTCGCTTCTGATCGGTCTCCACTCGCAGATCGCGCACCTGTGTCTTGCTCTTGCTGAGAAGATTGCGCAAGAAGACCTTGGCGGTCTCGTCGGTTATGAGGGCTTCGTCATCGTGCCAGACCGGGCTGGGCTCGAAGCCTGCATTGGCGGGTTCTTGGAGAGGCGTGGTGTTGTGGCGCAAGAACATAAGCGAGTCGAGATGAGGAAGGTTGCGGGGGATCTCGTGCAGGAGATTGGACATGTGCTCCACACTTTTGGTCAGGTAATTCTTGTCCAACTGAGCTGCCTGCGCCCAGATTGAATTCAGCTTCGCTACACGGGTTTCGTTGAGGTCTTGCAGCCCCTGCGAACGTTAGTGTCATAGCTAAGGCTGGGCGAAAGAAACCTACATCGAGTAGCTCAGGAACATATTCGTGGTAAAAGCGCTCCTTGAGCTTGTTCGTCACGTTGATACTGATAAGGTAGGTGTTCTGCTTCTGTTAGTGTGCGATAGGAGATGTGATTGGCTACATACCTTGACGTTGTTCATTTCCAGAATCTGCTGCTGATAGGCCGCTTGGGCCTTGGACTTGCTGTGGTCAAACGAGCTCTCCATTTTCTTCCGTCGCGCTTCCACCTCCTGACATGCACCGTCGTATTTCCCCTTGACCTTCTTAAGCTCACTGTAAGAAGAGTCCCTCTCCTTCTCCAATTTGGCATGAAAGTCGACGTGGCACTTCCGCAGTTCCTCGTATTGCGCTGCGGCTTGTTTGAGCGGCTCCGCTATTTGGACCACCAGATCCGTGCCGAATTGGTCGCGTTCGGAGGCGTGCGCCTCGATCGCAGTCAATTGTGTCGTCCATGTCGTGAGCGAGGCGCTTTCGAGCGAGCCCGGGGTCATGCTCGGAGTGTCTCCTACACTCAGCGTGCTGATCTTCTTCGCCTTGCGGTCGTTGTACTTTCTGCACAGCGCCGTCATTTTGGCCGCATATTCCTTCTCGATAACACTGCGCTCTCGGTAGAACTGTTGTATTTCATCCAACCACCCGATACCATGGGAAACCTGGGGAGCGATGGCTTAGCCCGGAACTTTGGATGTCGGCCGTCGTTGTGGTCGGGGGAATGCGCGCGGACGAACATGCGGGGGGGACATACCCAATTGTTGACTGGTTTGAAGGCATCCTATTCAATTCTGCTGTTAGCGAGAATACTCGGTTGTTTTCCCTAAGTGCAGACATCACCATACCTTCAGTTCTGCCCCAAAATGAGGGGCGACATCTAGGGTTGCCATGCTGACGGCTAATCCGCTGCCCGAAGATCACGGCGCAGAAGACTGACGACGGAGATGCGAAACCAGGGGAAACCGGAATGTGTCGGCCTAAGATGACCCAAGCAGGCGCACGTTGAAACCACCAACCACCTGGAGAAGGGAAGCCTGTTGCGCGACCGGTGTCAATGGCAAGGGATCGGAGCAGCAGCGGAAGACGCCGAAGTGGACAGCAATCACTAAGAATTAATGATACTTTGGAGGAGAGAGGAGAGACGCAGGCAATCCATCAATCAATCGCTGCGAAGGGAAGGAAGCGGGGAAGAACACTACAGCTTAGGCTGGATGCAGTAAAAGCAACGGAAGATTGCCCGATGACAATACCGAACGAGGCTGTCAGGCCACGTTGGAGCACTACGTCATTTAGCCTGATGCCACTAGAGTAAGGTACCGTACCGTCGATGCCCTGTCACCGCCTACCACAATGGGCATCACGAAGCCCTCCGGTCCTCCTTCCCTTTCAGGACTAGCGCAGCTCAAAGGCGGTCCGGACTGGTTTTTCCGCCGTCATTGTCTACTGATGAGCAAATGAGCAAATGAGCATAGCAACACCCACTGCAGTGCCAACCATTACTGCCTTATTGCTACCGTGATTGCTCTGAGTCCCGAGTTGGTCCCGAGTAAATCCTTCTCTCTCCTTTTCTTTCTTCTTCGTCCTTGAAAGGATTTCGGCCTCTGCCTTGTTCGCTTGAGTCGCTGTTTGGAGCCAGCCCATCGCGCGTCTGGTTTAAATAGAATTACCCCGCTGCTCCCCTCCTTCCGCCTGGAATCAAGCAGCCTTTTTTTTCCTCACAACAACACACGCCGTCCTCAAATCACCTTTGTCGTTTCACGAGCTTATCATGGCCTCCGACGAACAGCCTGCTGGCGGCTCTCTCGCCGACCGCATTTCCAAGCCCGAAGAATCTCAGCCTGCAGGTATGGACACCACGCGGCATACCTTCCTTCGACCCGCCGACTGTGTCACCCTCCATCGCGGTCGATCGCATCCAGAACCACGCTAATTCAGCCCTCTTACGCAGAGTCCACCGAAACCCCCAAAGAAATCGATCAAACGGATGGAGCGCCCGCCGCCTTGGGTGGCTCCGATCTTCAGGAACCCGAGTACACCGTGGAGGTCAAGCTCAGCGATCTGCAAGCCGACCCGAACAATCCTCTGTTCTCAGTCAAGAACTTCGAGGACCTTGGCCTGTAGGTCACATGTCAATCAAATCACTGAATGACTCATTGGGGCTAACACCGTTTGCTCAACAGCGATCCTCGTATCTTGCAAGGATTGTCGGCGATGAACTTCCGCAAACCGTCGAAGATCCAAGAAAGAGCTCTTCCTCTTCTGCTCGGCAACCCCGCAAAGAACCTGGTCGGCCAGTCCCAGTCGGGTACTGGAAAGACTGCCGCATTCACGCTCAATGTCCTCAGCCGCATCGACCTCAGCACGGAGCAACTGCAGAAGACCCCACAGGCCCTGATTTTGGCTCCTACGCGCGAGTTGGCGCGTCAGATCGTGGGTGTTATCCAGGTCATGGGTCAATTCCTTCCAAACCTCCTCATCGGTACTGCTGTGCCTGCGGATAGCAATGCGCGCCCGACCAAATTGGAGTGCTCCGTTGTTGTTGGTACGCCAGGAACGGTTACCGATATGATCAAGAGACGCACCATCGCGGCCAACAAGCTCAAGGTGCTGGTTCTGGACGAGGCAGATAACATGCTTGACCAGCAGGGTCTTGGCGATCAGTGCATCCGTGTCAAGGCGTCAGTTTCGCCATTCCTCTCCCGAATAGTGTGATGACTAACAGCTTCGCAGTTTGTTGCCCAGGGATATTCAGGTTGTGCTCTTTTCGGCCACTTTCCCTACGCACGTCCACGAATACGCTTCCAAGTTCGCCCCGAATGCGAACGAGATTACCCTTCAGCATGAGGAATTGACCGTCGAGGGTATCAAGCAATTGTATCTTGACTGCGCCAACGAGGAAGAGAAGTACCAGACTCTTGTTCAGCTTTACGGTCTTCTCACCGTTGGTTCTTCCATTATTTTCGTCAAGGTTGGTTGATTTGGACACGTGTCACAGGGATTTTGCTAATCCTCACTAGACCCGTGCCTCTGCTGTCGAAATCGAAAGGCGCATGGTGGCCGAAGGTCACGCCGTTGCCTCCCTGACCGGTGGTATCGAAGGCTCGCAGCGTGATGCCGTGATTGACCAGTTCCGTGCGGGACAAGCCAAGGTTCTGATCACCACCAACGTCCTCGCCAGAGGTATCGATGTTTCGACCGTTTCCATGGTCATCAACTACGTAAGCATTTTGAGATGTGATCTTCAAGTTCACGCAAGCTAATTCCCGTGATTAGGACATCCCTGAAATCCACCAGACCAACCCTCGCGCTCCACGCCAAGCGGACTTCCAGACCTACCTTCACCGTATCGGTCGTACCGGTCGGTTCGGTCGTGTGGGTGTCTCGATCTCGTTCATCTCCAACCGCGACGAGTGGGAGATGCTCAACCAGATTCAGAAGTACTTCAACACCAGCATCCAGCGGATTGACACCAAGGATTGGGACGAAGTGGAGGATATCATCAAGAAGACGCTCAAGAATACCCGTGCCCAGGCCGGCTTCCGGTGATCGTACTGCCTCTCCCTTGCTGTTTGTTAGTCACCGTTCGATCGCCGCGGATTGCTAGTCGGTTGGAGCAAATTGTTGGTTTAACGCCTGGGCTGTACTGCTGTATGGGCTGCGGATGAGTTTTATGAATCTTTCCATGATGGCTGAAAAATTGCACACCACACATATTAATAGATACCAGTTCATATTTGAGTCGCTGAAAACAAACAAACCCAGAATAGATATGCAGGGCTTGAGCATTTCGATATAGATTTTCTCCTGTAGCGGACGTCGGCTAGTGACATTCATGTGATTTGCGGAATGGAGGTGAGAGTTGTGAGCACAGAAGTGGCCTTGGATTGAGGCCGGCAGTGCGATTCGCGATTCCTACCGAAATCGAACAAACCGCTTTCTTTCTGCTTTGAACCAAATTGGTCCAAAAACGAGGCCAGCAGTTCGACTGCCCTTGAGAGTGGTCTTGTTATCCATTTTGCTCTCCGTCTGAATATTGAACTTCGGGGGAGAGCCCGGGTCCCAGGCTCGATGTTGACAGGATATGCTTTTTATTTTCTTTTTTGCCGGACCAATTAAGATAACTTGTTTCAATTCGCATCAACATCCATCCAGACCGGTCCGAGACCTGGCAGATAGAAATTGCTGCAGCAGATACTGTAACAGCTGGTTGAACGTGATGTGATTTGGCTGTTTGACTGACCGATACTCGCGCAAGTCGGTGGACATCGTAGTCCCACGTTGTGTCATGCCGGAGCTGTAGGGTGGGTATCCAAGCCGAGCGCTGAGGCATAGCCTGACTGACCTCCTCGAAAGCGCAATCAGGTCATGATCGAAAAAGAGGAAAAGAAAAATTCGAAGAAATAAAGACATACAACAGCATAAGTAGGATAGTATTGACCAAGCGCCCATGGGCGCGATGCCCCTCTATCCAGGCATCTCCACTATAGTGCTTCACCCTTTTCTTCTTTTGTCCGTCTTCTAAAAATTGTTTATTCATAGGAAGCCTCTCTGCGCAATTGCGCTTATGCTTACAGGATCTTCTCTGCAAAAGACTTAAGTGCTGAATAGAACATGGATCCTACTAACGATCTTGTTAAACTCATCAAGTATTTGATGGAAACCTTCAGCACAAAATGGAATACATGATACTAGATAGAATGAGACTGAGTTGATATGGATATACTTCAGGCTGTAAAGAGTGTATTTGAGGGAGAAAAATAAGGAACGTCCCCTTACTACCGGTTGCAGCGTGCATTTGATGTTCAAGTTCACTCTCAAAAGAGGGGTAGAGGATTGGGTATAATCATCAAGCACCATATGAGGCTGTGCCTTCTACAGCCAATCTATAAGCATTCCTCACCCTTCCTCAGCTACCGGCGACTCAAGGTGTCATCACAGAGATTCAGACGTAATCCTTGTATGAGGTTCTTGTAGCGGATGAGATAGCGGTACAGGGTTGGTACACGACCAAAAAACAGAAGAGCCACAAAATGCATGAACCCTACAATCTGTGAAGTAAGGAGCAGGGATGTTACATACCAGCCACAAGGAGAGATAACCAGGTAACCATCATATAAATCCAAACAAAGAAGGTGGGGGGGCGGTTGCCTGCTATGATCACAAAACTGTATCAATCGGTAGCACACTGCACAGTCAGGCCTTAGAATTCGTCTATGCATCAATTTTCCCAAGGTCATGCAAATCTTCAACAAGTGCTTCTATCGCTCTAGGGATTTTTCCCTAGTGCTTATGATGACATGGTCCCTGTAGCTTCTTTTATCACTAGGGCAAATCGGTACCACTGAGAATCCGACCCTAGGGCTACACTTGACGACCAGACACACTGGTTCATTAAGCGACTGCCTTTTGTCTTACACCATAACTATAGCAGCGCCCACTAAGCGCCCATGGCTGCGGCCACCTTTCTACTGAGGCCCTCTGGCAGTGACAGAAAGTTCAGTTCAGTTCCGAAATAACAGATGTTCATAAATCAAAGTTGTGTCAACTTGTGCAAAGATGCCTCAAGATCTGAACCCCCTCGCACTATTGCTTTCACCGCATTCTTCCAGTTGGGTCGATGATCGGCGACCCTAGCCATCCATTGGGACCACTTCTGGATGACTATGATTGCCCTATCCGAGGAGACATCGAACCATTCCACGTGCTGCTTTTGACAGGCTCCACAGTAAATTCTTATCCTGTGAATCCGAAGCTCTGCATGGCATAGGCTTTCAACCAGCTGTGGGGATTGGACTTGCCTGCCCACAGCGGACGCAGCCGGATAGAGACTTATGACCTCTCTGTTGCAACTAAATGTCCACTCTCCATGTCTTTGCGAGATTGGGTTGCGGGTATAGCCAATCTTCACATATCGCTCATTTCCAGCAACAGTATAGGCGTAAATAGAGCCTGGCCTGGTGTTTCGCGATGTGAGGGATTTGCTAATTGTTTCCAGATAGGCATTGGCTGGCATCCAGGAGTCGTCGATACTCGGACTGCTGGTCGCAAGGAGATGAAACGGCGAGGTATCATATCCTGGGGCTAGTGCACGTGAGCAATTATACTCTTACAGGGAAGTCCCATCTTTTGAGTCAGGGACAGGGAGCAGCATGCCGACCTTGCCAGAACTCTTCTGCTTCATCCTGATCCTCCGAAAGGTGGTCGATCCTTGTTTCCCGCACCCGACAGTGCCGGGCGACTGCGATTCCGGCGAGGCATCTCTCCAACAGCAGCGGAGACTGGGTTTCCCGATGCGAGGAACAGAAAACGTGCTGGCCAAGCCTCGTCAGCCAGACTGTTAGCCGTTTGTCATTTAGGTAGACCACAGGGTCTCGGATTTTGCTCAAGATCTGCTCGATTGTCTGGACAGTTCTGCCACCCAACAGTTGCTCACACGAGCAGTCTTTGCCCACGATGCCCAGGCACCTAGTACTGAGGTCGGGCAGTGCTTTTTGGATAAGCATAGCTGCGTCATTGGGGCGGGGGAAATACTCGTCGAGCCAGGCATTCACTCGAGCGCTGACCGTCTTTTCGTCGTCGTGTTTATCGCAATGGGTAAGCAGCACGAGTTTTCCTAATGTGTCGGCCAGTGTGTGACACGGCGTGGACCGTGGCAGCCGCCTCAACGAAACTATCGCCGCGTCGATCTCCGATTGCTCGGCTTGCCTCTGAAATCGCCGACAAGGTGTCTTCTTGAGAGTCAAGCCTCCACATTTGCGCTGTTTACGCTGTTGGCGAAAGAACAGGAGGAAAGCCTCCACGCTCGCGGGGGTGGGCCATTGGGGTGGCTCGTCCAATTCGGAGCCCGTGTCTCCTTCGCTTTGAGGAGGAGACCCTGGGCTGCGTGCCCTAACTTCGGACCCTCTCCTGCTCGGTGGCGCCTCGGGGGTGATGGTCTCTGCTTCCTCCGTAACAGAGAGACCTGCTTTCCTGGGCGAGCATGGTGAGGGAGGAGGACTAGGATAGATTGTATCGACAGGTGGAGTAGTCGGCCGAACTGCCTTTTCAGACTGTCTATGCCTTCGGTGCGCCATTAAGATGTTGAAGAGGTCAAGCAGACAGGACAGCCCGCGTCGCGCTGATGCAGAAAGAAGATGAACGAAGCCGGGAGGATAGAATCGAGCAAGCAGGTTGCATCTTCGGTGCCGTCCATAGTTATAAGGCTTTGCTCAGACAGGCGCAGCAAGGCGCAATTGGGGGACGCGGGGGTGGTGGGGGCTTGACAGGGACTCTGAGCACATCAGCCAAACCATGTCCAGCAAACTACGGCGCATAACCTACCTAACGCACTGAGTCATTCTTCGGGTTATCTTTGCAGCTGCGACAAGGCGCAATTCGAGGAGAAGGCGGTGCTCGGCGCTTGACAGGGATCCTGAACATGTCAGCCGGACCATGTTCAGCAAGCCACGGCGCGTAATGTCCCTCCCTAATGGACTGGTTTATTGTTTATCATCTCTGAAGTAAAAAAAAAAAAAAAAAAAAGATAAAATGTTAAACATACAACAGAAGGGATTCGCTGGTGGTCACCCACCCAACTACTAACCTCCCGGCGTGTGGCTTGAGTACGGCTGAGCGGACGGGAAGCCCTATTTTCCACACCCTGTGGTCGTATGTGCTTATTTATGTCTCTCTTCAGTTCATATAGAGCGTGTCTATTTATCAGTGCTTTGTTTGAGAACAAGAAATCGGGTTGGGGGAAGGCGAAAGGGAGCAGAGACGCATCAGCCTACGGAGTAGCGATCAGCTATAAGGATAGGGCATGATTTATATAATTGGCGGCTGTTATAGTGCTTGGTCTCACTGCCACGACCTTAGAGATGGCTATCGACTCTTGAAGCTAGCATTAAAGATGTGGAAGAAATGATGAAATCTTAATGGATTTACTGGCTTAAAGAGGAAAGTTTAATACCTTAAGATTCTTGGAATTAGTAAAAAAAAAAGAAATCTATATAAATTTATAATATTTATATATTAGTAGTTCTATTTAAAATTATATAATCTTACTGAAGTAAAATATTATACGCATATGCTGATACACCTCCGCAGTAAGTTACTTATAAAATCTTCTTTCTTTTTAAATAAAATAATATTTTATTTTTTTTAGTATTTTTAAATAAACGAATATATACGGCCGGTAGGCTGTTCAGCTGATACAGTTGTTAAAACTATTCAGCTAATATATTTAATAAAATAATTTAATTAATATTAATATTAACTATACCTCCGTAATCTGCGGACTGTAATACTGTTAATAAATTTAATATTATTAAAAGTAATATATTTAATTAATTAATTAGATATTTAAATTTAATACTACTAAATAGCTTAGTAAATAAGTCTGTAAAATTCTCTAAGAATTTAATATATTTAAAATATAAATCTTTATATTAAATAATCTTATAAATCCAGTAATATATAATATTAATATATTTAGTTCGTCGGTAAAATTAATTATTCTAAATAAATATAATAATATTTTTATTATTAATATATATTATTATCGGATGTATATTTTTAAAGTCTATATCTTTTAATATATAAATAATCTAGCAGGCTTTTTTTATTTACTATATATAATACTATATATTCGGCTTTATATATAAATACTATAATATAATTTTACAGATATAAAACTTATAAAATCAAATTATTTATTTATATAAAAATATATCTGAAAGTTAACCGATATATATTAAAACAGCTGGTATAGTCGGTATTAATATAACCGACTATTATATTAAATTAATTATAAAAATTATTATTAAAATATACTGTATACTGAATTTTATATTTAATAGTTTTATATAAGTATTAGTTTAAAGAAAGAAGACTATTTATATATTATTTAGCCGAATTACTTATATATTAAAAAAGTTTTCTAATAGTATATATAATATTAGAATATATCTGTATTATTAAATATATTATACTTCCGATATCTGACTGATAGTTTTTAATATTCTTTTTAAAAGCTTATTTCAGACTTTTAATAAATTTAATATTTTTATTAAAAAATATTTTACAGACCTTCTTATTTATTAAATCTGCTGTTTTAATAATATACTAAAAAAACACGCTTTATATAAAATAAATATTATTTTTATTTTATTTAATTTTTATACCGAGATACTATACAGTATTATTAAAATCGGTAATAGTAAAGTACTTTAAAAAATTTTAATATACAGTATTAATAAGATTTTCAGTTAGAGCAGTAATCTAAATATTATCGATATATAAAATTATTAATTTTCTATATTTTTTAATAAAAAGATATTTATCAGCTTAAAATACTATTATTTTAATATTAATAGCCGCGGCGAGAAACTTATAATATTAATTTTTAGCAGATTATTTTAATTTATATATAAATAGAAGCAGCTTGCAGACTTTAATATTTCTATTTTTAAAACTAATTAGTTAAATTATATAGATTTTTTTATTATTATAAAATTTACTATAAAAAAGATTTATTTAATATTTTTTTATTTATAAATATAACTAAATACTACTATAATAATAAAGAATATTCTTATTATTATTATTTTTACAGTAGAAGTAAATATAAGATTATAATTAATATTATAAATCTGCAGAAAATCTCAGACAATATAATAAGTTTTAAATCTATAGATTTTATTATTTATATTAAATTTAACTTTATATATCCATCAGCCTAATATAATTTTATAATCTATAAATAATTTAATAAATTTTTAGATTTTTTATTTTTATAATATTAAAATTTTTTTAATTATTACAGTATATCAGTAAGACGCCTTAAATAATTTTATTATTTATTTATATATTATTAATTTAATAATATAATTATAGTTATTATTTTTCTTAACTGTTCCGATTATAAGAGTTTGTTTAATAAAATAAAAAATTTAAAGTTTCTTTTATTTAAAAAGATTTTTAATAAGTAATATTAACATATCGCTGTATTTTAATTTAAAATTATTAATATAAATAAAAAGTATTAGTAAACTGATATTCTCAATCGGTTAATATTAATACTCCGGCATTACCGATATTTAAAAATATTTCTAAATAATTTTTTTATTATTAATTTTATTACCGGAATTATTTAAAATATATTTATACAGATTTCTAATTAATAAAATTACCGGTAATGATATTTAATAGTAACTGTAGTTATTATTAAAAAAACTGTATATTTTCAGATTACTTTTTTTATTAAAACAGATATTTCTGACGGTAATAATTTTATTATTTTTAATATTTAAAATTTTATATTATTTTATCAGACTAATATAGCTAAGCAGTCGAATAGCTTAATTATAAAATTAAATTTTTAAAATTCTATTTCGGTTTTTAATTTTCTTTGGAATTATTATAATACTGTAGTAGTTAAGTATTTATAAATTTAATAAATTTAAATATATTCTATTGCGTGCTTTTCATACAGTAATTGTTTTATTATAAATTAATAATAAGTTTTTAAAAAATATAATTCTTTTTATAATTTCTTTCTATAAGCTTTTGTCGAGACTTTAATTATAAAAAACTGTATATATATAAATTAAAATTATAAGATTAATTTATTCAGTCGGAATATTTTAATTATAAATATACAGAACTGTAAATTTTTATTTAAAATCTTTTTTATATATTTAAGCGAGAATATTCTTACTTTAAAATTCCGGTGTATTATCTGAATATAATAATTTAATTTTAAAAAATATATAATCTACTTTTTTAATAAACAGTTTTAGTTTAAATACTATTTTTTTTTAATTTTAAACAGACGGACGTCGATCCAGCTGTTATATATATTAATAAAAAATATTTAATATTAAATATTAGATTTTTTATTTAAAGATATATTAATATATCTACTATCGATATTAAAGAATATATACTAATTATATTATTATAGTAGAATTATTTAAATATATTTCTAGCGGATTGAAATATTAGCTAATTAATATATTTAATAAATATATTTTAAAATAATAAGATTTTTAATATTTATTTTATTTATTATTTTTAATAGTCTAATATAATTAGTAACGGAGAGGTGGGCAAGACGATAATACTAAATAAAAAAATTAATATAAATTTTATCTATATTAAAAATATATTTTTAATATTTTTTATTAATATAATAAAAATAGCAATTTATAATTTATATATTTAATTTAATTAATAGTAAGATAATTACTGGCTCGGCTGTATACTTTATTAAAATAAGATAATTTATTAAAATAAAAAAACTAATAATATTATTAATAGTAATTTTAATATTAACCGACTTACAGCTGACGCAGAGAATATATTAATTTTTAATAATATTTTTATAGCCGATAATCTTTTTATTTAAAATCTTAAAAATTATTATTTTATTTAAAAAAAGAAGAATAATAAGACCGAACTTTATAAAATATATAGTACTAAGTAAGTTAATCTTAATATTAGAAATATAAAATATATTTATTAGTTTAACAGTTCGGAATTTACTTTAATTATATATTAACTTTAACTTTATATTTCCGGTGCTGACGGAGTATATAATCTTATTAATAATAGTTTTAATTTTATATTTATATAGTTTTACAGTACCGGACAGAAAGTAATTCTTATTTCTAATAAAATATTCGGTAGAACCGGAGTCGATTATTTAATTATTTATATATTTAAAATAAACTATAATAATATTATAATTAATAAAACTAGTTTTTTTATTACTTATTACTGTAAATATTAATAAAGTAGAAGAGTATTTATTCTTAACAGTATTTATTTTAATATTTTTTAATATTTTAAATAGCTTTAATTCTAAATATAATTTTTAGTAGTTAGACTTTTTATAGCCGACTTTTCTGCAGTAGTTATATATTTAATTTTTTTAAATTTTCTATAAAATTCTTTTTTTAAAGTTATTTTTTTTCGACTAATTGTTCTTACTCTACTGGTCTTTAACTTTAAACTTTTTATTTTTTAAATATTTTAATAAAATTAATATTATCCGAGTTGAACTGGGTATGTATTTTTTTTTATATAAAAATTTAAATAATTTAGTCCCACATAGTGCTTTTTTTAATATATTAAAAATTAAGATAAAAAGTTAAGAAGATAGACTATTATTCTTTAAAATTATAGAAAAGAAACTAGATTTATATACTATTACTAAGCTTTTTATTCTCAGCAAGACTATATTAGAATTTATTTAATATTCTGAATATTTTTATAATATATTTATTAACGTTTTTACAGTTGTTATATTATAAGAATATAGCAGTTTGTAATTCTTTAAAAAATTATACATCCGAAATAATATTAAAATATTTTTTTAATTTATTTTAGACTTTCTTTATACTGCCGAGTTTAATAATATTATAGTAAATCTTTTAAATTAATATAGTATAAATAGCTTTTATAATCTTTTTATTTTTAATTTTTTATACAGATAGTTATTTTTTATACCGGTCGACGGTCTTCTTATAGACTGTAAATTTTATATTAAAAATATTACTAATAAATTTTAAAATATTCTAAATAATATATAAAAATTTAGTTATTACTAGAGCTAGTTCGGCTTTATTTTTTTATAGTACTGGCATTAGAAAAACAGATTGTTTATAAATATTTAAAATAATTTTTTAAAAATTTTATAAATAAAAATATATTTATAATATTTTATACCAGATTTAATAATTACCTGCGCCTATCAGAGCCGGGAGTTTAATAATATTAATAATCTATTAGATTATTACTAATTAATAGATATATTTTTTCGATTATATATTTTATTAATTAATTAAAATATTTAATATAGATTAGTACTTTTTAACAGACGATTTGGTTGGTAGAGAGATCTTTTTAATACTAAATATTAAAAAATATAAAAGAATAATAAAAAATAACTAATTTAAAACTTTAAATTTAAACCGGGCTTATAATCTGTAGAAGAAATAATAAAATCTTAATAGATTTACTGGCTTAAAGAGAAAAATTTAATGTTTTAAGATTTTTAAAATTAATAAGAAAGAAAGAAATCTATATAAGTTTGTGGTGTTTATATATTAATAGTCCTGTTTGAAATCATATGACCTCGCTGAAGCGAGGCGTTACACGCACACGCTGATAAAAGATATGCAGCACTGCAAAGCGCAGAAACTTCGCATACTGCTTCCCAGGGGTGCTCGGTAGAAGGACACACTTATATCCTTCGGCGGAGTTAACATCCCCCGGAGATTACGGCGATAAGAATCGAGCTGGAAGATTCAGTGTCCACGGTTACTAGTAGTATATCCTTCTTCAGATACAACTTCTTAACATCGTAGTACGTTGAAGACATCAACCGGCTAATGGACATTCACTAGGTGCATGCGCCAGTCAGCAGCCACGGGGGCCTATCTAAACGAAGCTCAATTGACGGGAATTCGCCGTACAAGATGGATCCTTGTGGTAGATACGGATTCGAGTTAACCATCAAGTATGGCTCCATGATCTCCGCCCCGGAGTTAACACAAGCCTTCGACGTGTCTCCAGGGCTCTGTTAGCAAAGCATAAGAAGGTGGCATGACCCAGTCACCGAGCAACAATTCCAGAAACGGCCCAGTACAGTACGAAAAAAACCATCTTGCCCTCTCCAATTTCTCCCCCGATCCTCTCCTTGAACCTCGACAGTTGGTACACAATCACAATCGAAAGCAACCTCCCACGCAAACCAACCAACCATGAACTCAACCAACACCATCCCCGTGAACAAGCTGGCGGGCACGCGGGTCCTAGTGATCGGAGGGACCTCCGGAATCGGATTCGCCGTGGCGCGCGCAGCGCTCGAGCACGGGGCGAACGTCTTCCTCGCCAGCTCGCAGACCAAAAAGGTAGACGAGGCCCTCACGCGCCTGAAAACCCTATATCCAGAGCCGGAATACCACGCGCGCGTCGCCGGAGGATGCGCCTGCAACCTCGGCGACCCCGCTACATTGGAGACCAACGTGCGCAATCTCCTCGAGCAGGCCACCACTTCCACCACAGGGAAAACTCTCCTAGACCATATCGTGTACACCGCCGGCGACGCCCTGAGCCTGAAGCCCGTGACGGACCCGACGCTGACGGTGGCCGGCATCCACGCCGCAGGGACGGTGCGCGTGCTCGGGGCCCTGATGGTCGCCAAACATGCGCAGAGATACATGCGCGTGTCAACCCGCTCGTCGATTACCTTCACCAGTGGGGTGAATGGACACAGGCCGGCCCCCGGGTGGGCGCTCGCGGCGGCGAGTGGAGGCGCGGTGGAGGGGATGGCGCGCGGGCTGGCGGTGGATTTGGCGCCCGTTCGCGTCAACACCGTCAGTCCGGGCGCGGTGTTGACTGAGTTGCTTGATAACTTCGGGGATGAGAAGGCTAAGCTGGCGGCGGTGGAGCGGTACGCTGAGGAGACGTTGGTGCGGGAGATTGGGAGGCCGGAGGATGTGGCGGAGGCGTATGTTTATCTCATGAAGGATCGGTTTGTGACGGGGACGGTGGTTCATTCGGAGGGGGGGAAGTTGTTGAAATGATTTTGTTGGGGGTGGTTATGGAGGAGGGGTGTGTGGATGGGAGGGGTATCCTGTCGTCCATTCTTAAAAATTCAAACTGTTCTAACACTCTCTTGTCTTGGGTGCAGATTTAGATCTGGGCTCGATGTAGTGGTCAAATGTAGACCTTGGAGGTTTGTGGCGGGAGGATCTCGCGAGCAGCAGCCTCTTTCTCCAACGACGGCGCCTCGCTGCGATGTTCTGGCTTGGGACTTTTTGCCCTTGCGCGGAGCGCGGCACCGGGGCAACTGCGACTCGGCACGTGCACATATTTGGAAAGGTCAGAGGGTGAAGGGGTCCACAGTGCCGAAAGCTGGTCGACGCTGTCCCTGCGAACTAGATGAAGGTGTCCTCGGTGGTGCGGGCCAGGGCATTCAAGATGACCGAGGGCATGTCCTGGCGCGGAGAGGAGATCGAAACTGCCATCGTTGAAGTAGTCGAGCGCTTTGAGGCCTCCGATCTCCAGGTTGAATTCATACGGTCTAAGTCCTTCCACTTTCCGACCGAGGAACTCGTGCTGCCAAATAGGGGCTTCCTTCACGAAGGGCAGACCGGAGTAGAGGGCCTCCTTGATTCCGGGTCCAACGACCAATTTAGTACCCCAGTTGAGAAGGGAGGCCTGTCTGATGTGATCGATTTGTGCATGACTGCCAGCAGGTAAATCTCAGAGTCTGCCCCGATCGGCTGCTATCGAAAGGGAGGAAGTCCCTTGAGGGAAATGGATCCATACCTCCAGATGGTCTCGTCAATCGTGTTGAGTGCCACGCCATGCTCCTTTAGGACATCCTCAACACCCTTGTCAACTCGTAGATCGCTGCCCAATTCTGTGGCTGCTTCCCAAGTATGTGAGGTTAAGAATACCGTTTGTTTGGCAATTCCAAGCTCAAAGATCACATTGCACCTCTACCAGAAGCGTCCGTGTGATGGCTGAGGAATGAATACGTGACAGCAGTCCGCTTCTCCCGGCCCTTGATCGGTGGACCCATAAAAGGCCCCGTTGGCACCCGGGGATCGTAAGTGATATTGATGATTGGGACTTGTACCGTTGACAAGGAAGAGGAGATGTTCAGGGAGTTTTGACTGGTCGTTTTGCACGAGATGATCCACCGACACTTTGAGCTTAGATCTTGTTTGATTGTTGTTTATCAGTGCGTGCCTTTTAGTCGGGCCCCTCATGAGCTGTAGAAGGTTAGGGAGTGTCAGGACTCTTCTGCTGAAATTCAAAAAGAAGAGCTCTCACCTGGGTTGAGTAGATCCTCCGTACCTCCTAGGTAGGGACGCGGGTTGAGCAACAAGCAGCCGCTCCATCTAGTATAATGCTGCCTCGGCGGGTGGTGGAAGGTTGAAAGACCTGGAATGAGCTGATTGCTTGGGGCCAATGATCAGCTCTCAAATTCAATTTCGAATATATCTATGTATGCAGTTTCATTTAGTCGATGTCCAGGGACTTCTTCTCAGTCGCTACTTGGACATTTGCATTTTGGGGAGTTGAGCCCCACAGGGTCATTGCATTCACATAGCACCAGACTCAAGAAACCCCCTGGGAGAGTGTAAAAGTGCCCTCCCGAATGTCTTTCCCGGTACCTGAAATTGTGACAGGGGTTTTGCCGGGCCTTCCAATTCGCCGTTCAAAACACAAGAGAGTGTAGATCAAACTGTAATTATCTTGGCCTGGCGAGAAAGCTCAGTGAAGTAGATATTCGGTTGTGCCACACGGAGAACTTACTCCTAAATTGGAAAATATGTTGATCAGAAATTTCCATCTGATGTATCAGAATTTGTATGATCTCTACACTCTGCCGCTAGTTTTGTGTATGATATTGCAATGCTAAGCCTTATGATTGTTGCTGTCTGCTCTTATTAAGCAAGCAGGAACGTTCCTGACTGTCATGTGGGCTGTTTTCTTGGTGTCTACGGTCTGCCGTATTGCTATCGATAGAAGGTTCGACCACCCAACGCACTGATCGTTCGTATTGTTTGCTATTATCGCAAAATACACAGTACACTTCTAGGGCAATTTACATTCGACAGTCACAGACTAAGCTCAGAGCGCAGTAAGGATCCAATCCATCCTCCATCTCTAGAAGGTAGAAATTATGTTAGAAATGATCTAGTTACCGCTGACAGGCTGAGAGCTACTCCAATAGAAGTCACTGGAGATGGTATGAAATTATCTTTTATCCTAGTCCTAGATGATCAACGCTCATCCTGGGGGAATAGTCTCAAGGATACTGATCTACTATTGCTACCAACGTCTCTGGCCAAGAGTTTCGGGCGACCGACCGACTGGTTTTTGAGGCGAGGGAAGCTTTGGAATGAGGGGCTGGTCATCCGCCCTGCTGTCCCCATACCCATCGTCATCGTGCAGAACCAGCCCGGATCGCGCCTCTCACCGACTTCCTCCCGGATGATTTGTTGGATCTCATCTCAAGGATAGCAGTAGGCTTTGTTGATAAAGAGATTAACAGCGGGGGGATAAAGGCACTATGTAGTATCAGTGCTTATCAGTGAGCCCTGATCGCCCGGAGTGGAGAAGATAAGGAAAGGTCCGCAGCCATGATAAGCAACAACCCAGGTAGGATAAGATAATAACCCAAGGAAGGCAGTGCGGGGGGAGAGTAACTACCCTACTCTAGTACAAAACAGAAAAACTAAGAATGAGAGAAAGCCTGGATCCAACCAGGCAAAAGCAAGCATTGGGGCCCAAGTCACATGCACCTTGGTATGCCCAGTAACACCTGTAAGTCAGAGTTAGCTTTCATTCACTGGGTGACAGCAAGCAGCCTGATCGGTCGGAGCAAGCTACAACTTCCCTCTTCTACTCCCCTCCCCCTCCCCCTCCCCCTCCTCCTCCCATTCTCCATCCCCCATCGTCATCTTCTCTTCCCCTTTATCCACTTCCACTGCCGCTCCTCTTCCCTATTTATGTCAACGAATCCCCCCCTTCCTTTTCTCTCTCCTTTCCATATCCTCTAATCCTTCTCCCGTTTCACCATGACTGCCAGTACCCCGCAGCTCGATACATCCCCCAAGCCCACTGAAGCGGCGACAACCGTCGTTCAGTCGCCGACTTCTACTTCTCGTTACAGCAAGCACATTGTTGTACGTGCAGTTCCCCAGTCACTGACTCTTACAGGAAGGATAACCGACTGACCCATACTCCTCATAGTTAACTACCTACCCCGGCCAAAGCGGGATCGATCCCGTCCCTCTCGAATGGGGCGCCCCCGATGCCAAATCCCGCGGTCCGGTGATTGTCTCCCGTAGTCCGAACCTCCTCAAGCGTCGCAACGCTATGGGCGCTCATGGCGGAAGCTACAGCATTTACAACGCTCTCGCGATCGCGGCGGGCGACCTGGACCCGAATTTCCGCCCGGACCTCCGCAACAGCGAGCCCACCTTCAAGTTTCCCGCGCAGCCCGCCTGGGGCGACAAGACCAAGATCGTGTCCATGGACCCCTACGGCCACGATGTCGTCAACCAGTACCGGGACGAGTTGGAGGCCGGCTGGGACATCCGGCCCACCATGGCTGTCACGCGCGCGAACATGAAGCTGGCGGAGATTGGCGAGGCTGTGCGGGAGGGCAAGCTCGATGTCGACGGCTCGATTGTGGTGGACTCCGGCGGTGAGGTTCGCGTGACCAAGGTCGCCGTGGAGCCCGTCTGGTACCTGCCCGGAGTTGCGGAGCGGTTCGGCGTGGATGAGGGTACGCTGCGGCGGACGCTCTTCGAGCACACGGGTGGAAGTTACCCTGAACTCATCACGCGCCCAGATCTGAAGGTCTTCCTGCCTCCGATTGGTGGGTTGACGGTTTACATCTTTGGACCTCCGGAGAGAGTCTCGGATGAGAATGTTCGGTTGGCACTGCGGATACACGACGAGTGCAATGGTAGCGATGTCTTCCAATCGGATATCTGTACGTGTCGTCCGTACTTGGCGTTTGGTATCGCGGAGGCGATCCGGGAGGCGCAGAATGGCGGCAGCGGTGTGGTGATCTACTTCCGGAAGGAAGGTCGTGCTCTGGGTGAGGTCATCAAGTACCTGGTGTATAATGCTCGCAAGCGCGGTGGTGATACTGCGGACAAGTACTTCACTCGCACGGAGAATATTGCTGGTGTTCGAGACGTAGGTGTTACCCATATTTGGCGGTCGGCCACTGCTAACATGATGTCCAGATGCGCTTCCAAGCCCTCATGCCCGACATTCTGCACTGGCTGGGTATCAAAAAGATCGACCGGATGCTGTCCATGTCTAACATGAAGCATGACGCCATTGTTGACTCTGGAATCAAGATCTTGGAGCGTGTGCCTATCCCGGAGGACATGATCCCGAACGACTCTCGCGTCGAGATCGATGCCAAGATCAACGCAGGCTACTTCACCACCGGCAAACAGTACACGATGGAGGAGTTGGCCGCTGTGAAGGGACGCGGTTGGGAGAAGTGGGAGGATGTTACGGTATGTGGTTTCCTGTTTTGGTTTGAATGCCACCGAGACTGACTCTTGATAGCACTGATTTTATGCCCGCATCTTCTAAACCATGACCATTTTTGATCCGGCGTTTGTCATGTCTACTTTTCGCACTCATAGTTATACCAGAACTGCATAGCAAGACTTTTCCGCAAATTGGGAATAACAGGAATAACATAAATATTAGGGCTCTACTTGGGACTGCACCATAGATTACCTCTTGTATATCACAGCGGTGGTAGCGCGTATACTGCTTGTCACCCGCTTCAACCATACAAGTAGTCTGGAGCCGTAGCGTGGTGGTCCCATCACGTCGTCACCAGTTTCCAACACTAGGGCTTCCAGTCGACACCATTGGAGTCTTGAAAGAAAGAAAAGGAAGAGAAACCTTTAGCTATCGCATAATCTCCGAAGGTACTACTTGTTTTGTTGTAAGGATCGAAGATACAGAGGGGCAATCGTTGACTGCCCGAGTGAAAGTGTATCCTCGAATGTGTTAGTATAGCGTGTCAATACCGTCAACTGCTGTTAAAGACGATTATCGTTCCCATGCTAGTGGTATTGGCATTGGGCAGGAGAAGATGTAGTTGACCAAGCATGCTCTCGCAGATCATAGTGAGTTATCCCAGATTCAACCAGATGCAAATTTATTCTCACTTTGGTGATTGGTGCTAATGATGCTTCACCTCTGTGCTTCTTGGATAGCATCTATCGTCCATCTGCGCAGGCTCTGCAGCATATCACTTGTGGCCACATATTTTATAGCTTCCCGGTGTTATTCTGCAGCTAGGTATTCCATATAGGCTTTCTTTCAGTGCTAGATGTATGGTCGTTATTCAATTTCGAAGATCACTCTGGCTTCGCTGAGATCCAATGCCTTACCGGTGTCGCGAATCACCACAACACCCCGTCCATGATTTGCCAGTACTTCCACCGGTCGGTGTCGGGGAATTGCGAAATCCATTACCACGTATGGTAGATAGATCTACCCACCCAAATGCATCATCTATCCTCAGTCCCTATCCTCTGCCAGTTGGGGCAAGTGCACTGCAACAATCCTGACTCGACAAAGCGGCTTGACTTTTGCCGCATCATGCGCCGTAGGACAACTAGCTAGCAGCCGGTACCACAGCCTTGGATCCGGAGACCAGGCGCATTCGATTAACACATTATTGAGAGCTTCTGTTGCAGATGCCAAGGCTCTTATCAACCGCAAGGGGCCCAGCCGGGGAATTTAGCATGACAGGAAAGAACAGGTCATATGGATGAGTTTCCTAAAGAGTACGCGTTAGAGATCAGCCGTGCATCGTGCTAATCCCACAGTGGATCAATGTCAAGGGCAATGAAAACATATTTACTATAGAAGCTTATCGTACCGCTTGGCGCGAGCAGTGAGTCGATAATCTTCTACTGCACATGCGAGGGAGCGGCCACTGGCTGCGTTGCTGTGAGGATAATGGAGCATCGAAGGTATCACGGGATGAGCAATTTGGATGCTGTAAGCTCGGCAGATTTGAGGATTGAGTTTTTGCTGCTGTGCTTGCCTTCATTTTATTAATTTGTATCTTCTTTGGAGTCGATCTATTGATGACGACAGCTGTGAAGCCGATCGGTGAGATGGGCTTTATATTGCTGTTTTGCGGCATGGAATGAGTTGTGTGATATGCCATGCTCGAACATATTGGGATCGATATTGGATTTGAATCATAGTGAGTATAATCAATCACTCCCCGATCATCTGAATAGTTGGTAGCGATTGTTAGTAACATCGATGATATACCTAGGTGAAGATGGCACCTTCCGGAGAGTACGCTGTCCTGAATAGGAAAGTCCCGTTTCCTCCGCCTGATCTTCGACGATGGCTTCATCACCCAAGACAGCCTGGACCACCGTTATGAAGGCTCTGGCACCGACGCTCACCCGTACATTGTCACCTGGCTGGCTGACGACCCCCGCGATCCGATGAAATTCCGCGACGCCACGAAATGGGCCATCACCGTGCTCTCCACCCTGGCCAGCCTGATCGTGGCGTTCTGCTCCTCGGCATACTCCGCCGGGCTGGTCGATATCACCAACGAATTCCATGTCTCAGTAGAAGTTGCGCTCCTGGGATCCTCACTTTTCGTGCTCGGGTTCGCGCTGGGCCCATTGCTGTTGGGTGCACTGAGTGAGGCCTACGGACGTCGGGTGATCATGCTGGTGAGCGGCGTGTGTCTGACGGCGTTCAGCGCGGGCGTTGCGGCATCTCCCAATATTGCGACGGTGATTATTCTCCTTTTTCTCGCGGGCAGCCTGGGGTCCGCGCCGGTGGCTGTCTCCGGCGGCGTGATAGCCGACTTGTTCTCGGCTAAGGCCCGAGGGGCGCCCATGGGGTTTTACGCGGCAGTTCCCTTCCTTGCCGTGCTAGGTCCCATTATCGGTGCCGCAGTCGAGGTGACGGGTGGCTGGCGGTGGATCCAGGGGGCCATGGCTATCCTCGCCGGAACAGTCACCCTGGCCTTGTTCTGGCTGTTGCCGGAGACATATGCGCCCGTGTTGCTGTCCAGTCGCGCCAGGCGGTTGACGAAAACCACAGGCCGCGTCTACCGCAGTGTAATGGACGTAGGCCATGGCCGTGAGCATACCTTTGGTAACGAGCTGCGCACGCTTCTTCTCCGGCCGTGGGTGCTTCTCTTCCGCGAGCCGATCGTCCTGCTTCTCTCTATCTACAGCTCGATCCTCAGTGGGATCACGTACATGTCTTTCGCCGCCTACGCAATCGTGTTCCAGCAGATCCGGGGCTGGAACTCACTGGACACTGGGCTGACCTTCATTGGGATGCTGGTGGGTGTTCTGTTCGCGATCCCCCACATCCTTGTCTCCCACACGCGATATGTCAAGAGAATGAACCGGACTCGCTGCCGGGACACAGCCCGCTTGCCACCGGAAGTGCGTCTCCTGGACGCCCTCCCCGCCAGCATTGCTCTCCCCGTGGGGTTGTTCTGGTTCGCGTGGACGATTGTTCCTGTGCGCATTCCCTGGATCGTTCCCGTTCTGGGGAGTGTTCTGGTTGGGTATGGCTTACTGATGATCTTTCTGCCCTGTTACAATTATCTGGTCGACTCGTATACAATATACGCGGCGTCCGTCATGGCTGCATGCACCCTCATGAACTCTGTCTTTGCAGCTGCATTCCCTTTGTTCACGGATCAGATGTATCAGGGCTTGGGGCCGCGGTGGGCGGCGTCGGTGCCGGCGTTCTTGGCTTTGGCGTGTGTTCCGATTCCGTTCGTGCTTTTGATAGGTATGGGGCGCTGATCCGGGCGCGGTGCTTCTACGCTGCCGAGGCGGATGCGTATCTAGACCGGATGCTCCGGGTGGAGGTTCGAGAGGTGCAAGAGTGGCAGGATGTGCATTGTCAGGGTTGAATGTAACCTAATTTGCGACTTTGGAAGTAGAATCTCAACGAGTAACTGAACCACAGAAGGACTATGTAGGCCATGCTTCCACTTGATTCTAGCTATCTCATTCATAGCTGGAGCTGCTGTAGCTTCCTCTCAACTTCATTTAGCCCCACCCATCGTGTGGTATCGTGTAATATCCCCAAGTCTTTCCTTTTACACATCTCTCTACCATCCAAAGCATTTCCTCGCGCAACCCTACCATAACCGGCATAGATCTCGAGCAAGCCACCTCACAACCCCTCCCCCCATCACCATCACCAACCTCCCCCGGAATGACGCCCTCATGACGCCCACCTGTCAGACAAATGCAAAAAAGAAAAGAGTAATGCCGCGACTGGGACTCGAACCCAGAATCTGCACTCCACACCGCTAGCATAAGGCTAGTACGGGGGCTCTGCAATGTTAATACCACTACACCACCGCGGCTGTTGTTGTACAGATGTACTCGAAACCAAAACATAGCCCCACTTTTTTTGCGGTGTCTGCCACTTATGTGGGGCTTTCTGCGCCACCAAGTGGGCCTTTGTATAATTTAAAGCATTTATAGGATAGATTGATAACATCCGCAACTCCTTACAGAGAAAATAATGTGGTTCCGACATTAGAACTGGTTGCTTTTGCGATTCTTTGCCATTTATCCCAGTACAATGAAAGTCTGGTGGATAGCGGATACTGAATTGCTTACTGGACCCTGCGACTCCGACACTAAGTTCAAAGCCTCGGTCATTCCTACTACGAAATCAACAACAGAGTGAACATATTCACGTTCCTGTCGGGTCAATATGCTAAATTTCTCAATGTCAGGTCATAGATATGGTTGACGATTGTCTTCTATTGCTTGTCTCTTATCTTTTGGCTTGGGATAGCTCGAGTTAATATACTCGGGCTCAAACTATTGGCCTAGCGTCGAGTTCTTGTCCATACCGCTGAATCAAATCTTTCATGTCGCCTAACATTCTGTCATTTGGTCAGTAGATTCTGCTGTAGACCTTGGAGAATGATGGCCTTACTGCACTCTAAGCCCTTCATTATCTGTGAAGAGGGCAGATACGTGGGTGTTAAATCGCCTTTCTATTGTTAGCGTCATATTGCCTTGAGGGATCCAGAGTGAACCGCCGACTCACAACTTATACAGGTCGAGACGTCCCTCGTAATCCTCTTCAGGCTCGGAAACCTGGATATAGGACCGATATGCAGCGAGGTACTCTTCTCCAAACCGATTGCAGATCGGGCGCCATTGACCGAACTCATCTGCACAGTGTCTCTGTTAGCATCTCACCCATCGTCCCAGCGAGTAGGGAACCATTGAAACCCAAGAAAGCCAAAGATAAAGGGGTCCCACATTCGTTATGCGCATAGAAGCAGCAAGCGTCATAAACCAGAGACTGGTTCGTCTCCACATCCACCCCGGAGTTGGCGTACCAGAGATCCCCGTGCACGAGCGCGGGCTTCACCGACCGACCCTCACTTTCCAACGGTCGCAGCAGACGGGGGATGACCCGCTCGAAGATCACAGGCGCGAGGCGATCGAGCTCCGGGTCGGGGCCCTTGGCCTGGATCTCCAGGTCGAGCGCGTGCCGCAGGCTCTTCGCGAAGAACACCTCCCAGCTGTCCTCCCAGTCCGTCTTCTGCGGCAGGTTGCCATTGTGCGTGACCACGTGGAACCCAAATCGACCCGTCGGGGAGACGCTCCTGCTGTGGAGGGCGGCCAGACGAGCGGCGAATCGGTCGGGATCCGGCATCTCGCTGATCATGTCGCGGTACTCGCAGAGGAAAAAGTGCTGGTCGGGGTCAGATTGCAGGGGCCCCCAGTCGAGCGGCTTGGGCGCGAAGTCTGGCGTAACGGCGTAGATCGCTTTCATGGACTCGAATTCGCCGCGCACCATGTCTCGGGCTCGCTCGCCGCCGGGGAGCACCTTCATGAAGAAGAAATGAGGGCGCCCGTCGGCGACCTCGGTATCGATCCGATAGGTGGAGCCCCAGAAGCTGATGCCGTGGCTTTCGATGCTGAGTACGCGACTGCCTTTAGGTAGTTCTTGGGGCAAGATCTGTCAGTGGAGTTTTCGGGGTCAATGGGTCGGATCTTGACTACTGACTCTGAAGAACATTAGGGTCAACTAAACCGTTCTCGCTGCTTGGGCTGATGTCATCGCCTGTGGCACGACTCATGGTGCCGAATTGTGCTTTGAAAGACACTTAATGGAGCTTGCTTGGTTTGGGGGTTCTGCATCCGACGCAGGAATGTGGATGTATTGTGAAATGCCACTTGACGCTGAGTAGCTTGTTATGAGCTGGAAAGTCTTCGCATGCACAGAGCAATGAGTTACAGGAGTTTGTCCCCTTCCCCTTAATTCACGAATCAGCGACAGGTCAGAAGCACATTGTCACAGAAATAGCATTGCTAGTTTAGTCGTTCGAGGGGGGCACACCAGCGGCAAGCGCCATGGTGGAGTTGCGCGTCGCACGGGGAAGCTATGATAGGCTGGTGCCCGGACCATTAGTGACAAGTATAGCCACGTTATTTACCGCCTGGGATACCACCTTAGGTACTTAGGGTTGAATTGGGACGAAACAGACAAAGCAGTTCGAGGCCCTTGATGTCCTTCGAATGACTCTTCTTCCTTTCACTTCCAATTTGCAGCCTCTCGAAATTTATGAGTGCCTCGTCGCTGTGATCATAAGGTATTATCTTTTCAGTTACGTCATCAAACAGCTCGCATGGCTTAGATGGTAAAGCGCAGCACTAGTAATGCTGAGATCCTCGGTTCGAGTCCGAGTGTGAGCATCTCTTTTTTTGCCTTTTTGTTTCCTTCTCTACTCTCTATCTCAGAATTCGCAGAGCGAAATATGATTATCCATCCTATCCCAACACGAATACTTATTGTTTTATCTATGCAAAACCATGACCACAACCAGGGTAGGACTGTTGCTTGAGACGTTAAGAGGTAGTTCAACTGCCAGGTCTGTCCACCAGCAACCGGTATGGTACAACACAAAAACAAATTCAGCCATCGTGCCCCGCAGTCGAGACCTCGGTTATACGGTCTTCCATTCCCTCGATCAACTCCACTCGCACGCCTGCATCCTCCAACCGCTTTCGTCCCGTGTTCTCGCCGATGAACTTTTCCGGCTCCGTGATTCCGACGTAGACCACCTTGATCGCGTTCCCCAGTCCGATGATCCTGTCACAGCAGGTCCGATTGCCACTCAGCCTCCTGTTGCAGGGCTCCATGGTGGTATACAAGACGGTGTTCTTCGGGAGCACTTCCCCAATCCTCTCCTCAGGCACATTGTGCCGGTCGGCGATTTTGATGAAGCAGCAGTGTTCGGCGTGGGTGTTGCCCGGATCCCCGGGTCGATCCCCGGGTAATTCCATGGAATACCCTGTGGATAGGATCTCGTCCTTATCAGCATCAACCAGAACGGCCCCAACACAGAACTTGGTGGGTGCTGGGGGGGACAGTCGCGCTTGATCAAGGGCGTATTCCATATAGGCTTTGTGGTCGCCGGCTGGTAGGCGCGGGTATGCGGTCGTCGAGCCCATCGCAGTATGACCTGGGAAGACAGGAAAGAAGATGAGGGCCGAAGGGAGGGCAGTGGCGCGCGCGCGCGTGTGTGTGTGTGTGTGTGTGTGTGTGTGTGTGTGTGTGTCAGGTTTTAGACACCACGGGAGGAAGTACGATCAGAGAGACGATGGCAAGATAGACAGTCAAGAGTGAAAAAGTCGAGAGCCGTGGTAGTCAAATTGCATGGTCGTCCAAATACGCGGTGATTGGAGGCAAGATAACAAGCGTCTGCCGTTCCACACGGTCTCGCCTTCAGGGGTAAGGTACAGAACAAGTACAGTACAGTACGGCGGGGTTGCTGCCGGTCCGGCCCGCCATCACTTCGACCGGTTCCATTAGGGGCGCTTAGATGGCCAGTCAGTCACATTGTCACCTCGTGATGTTCCCCACCTCCACTGCGTCGACATCTCAGCACATTCCATTCAAATATGTCGTGGGGTCATGGTCCTCCCCCCTCACGCAACAAGCTCTGCGACAAGAAAGTGAAAAAGTGTATTTGTCTCCTGATCCAGTGTCCTTTCCAGAATAATGGAAACAGGATGCGGCAAACATCATGGTAAGTGTGCAGTCTCTACACAGGCGCAATGTTAACTTGCGGCAACATTGCTTACGTGACCCCCAAAATTCCTAATCAATCAAGAGTTTCCTCAGTAAAGAGACCGATTCATCTTCTGTGACTCGATACGGTCGAAGCAGCCCTGGTGATAATTCCTCCGGGAAATCATTCTTCGCCACGGAAAGCGGTAACAATGACTTGAAAGGACCTCTTGGGTTGAATCTGCTTCACTCTCCAGCAGAGCCTCTTATCGAGTTCATCTTTGTACATGGTCTCGGGGGTGGATCGAGAAAGACATGGAGCAAGGCAGGGTCGATCTCGCACTACTGGCCGCAAGAATGGCTCCCGAAAGACCCTGCCTTCACACATGTGCGAGTTCACAGTTTTGGCTATGACTCAGACTGGTCAAAAGGAAAGGACAATTGTCTAGACATATACCACTTTGCAAAGTCTCTACTGGGTGAGCTGAGCACGTCTCCTCATCTGGGCTCTAAGCAAACTCCCATGGTACTTTTAGGACATAGCATGGGAGGACTGGTCATCAAGAAGACCTACTTGCTCGCGACTCAAGATCCCCAGTATCAGGCCTTGTTGAAACGATTCTATGCCATTTACTTCTTCGCCACGCCACATAGAGGCTCTGATTCGGCCAAGCTGTTAGAAAATATACTGCACATAACCTATTCTCGCCGGGCCTATGTCTCTGACCTCAAGCGCGGCTCTCAGACACTGCAATCAATCAACGAAGACTTTCGACAGTACTCCGGAAAGATAGAGCTTTTGTCGTTCTACGAGACATATAAGCTCAGCGTGGGTCTATTCAAAGCACTGATTGTCGATCCCAATTCGGCGACACTGGGCTATCCGGACGAGCAGCAGATCCCCTTGGGTGCGGATCATCGATCGATCTGCAAGTTTGAAGGCCTAAAAGACCCTAAATATATCACTGTGCGGAACGCCTTAGCTTCTACGGTGGCGAAAATATCCAATTCCGGTATGCTCTACAGCAACATCAATGGAACAAGGCACTGATAGTGACAGAACGCAGCTCAAAAGACGGGCTTCGAAAGGAGCAGATCAAAGCTTTGGGAGAATATATTGGCTTTTGCGACCAGGCCGACGATGACCTCATTCTGGTCGAGGATACACGCATGCCTGGGACTTGCGCGTGGTTCGAGATGAAACCGTCCTACGCAAGGTGGAAGGATTTCGACAAGAATGCTCCGATGATACTGCTGGTGACCGGAAAGCCCGCAGCAGGGAAATCTGTTCTTGCAGGCTACATCATCAACCAGCTGCGCCAAACGAAAGCCAATTGCAGCTTCTATTTCTTCAAGCACGCGGATAAATATCAGTCTCGACTCAGTGCGTGCTTGCGATCTCTGGCATTCCAGATGGCATGTATAAGTCCTGAGGTACGAGATATAATTCTAGCCATGAGGAATGATAATGTCCGCATCGACAATGAGGATCCACGTATCCTCTGGAGAAAGTTATTTCTATCCGGTGCTTTCCAGGCCGAACGTCAGCCACATTACTGGGTAATCGATGCCCTGGATGAGTGTGCGTCAATCTCTCACTTCTTCGACACCATGCTGGCCAAGCTCGATTCGTCCATTCCTCTAAGGATTCTGATCACTAGCCGAGAGACTCCAGAGCTAGGAAAACAACTTTCAATGCCAGGTCTAGCAGGATGCGCTGTTGAGCGGATGATGACCGCCGACACACTGGCAGACATCAAACTTGTCGTGGAAGAAAGAGCGAAGTCATTGGCGATTGATGTGACAGATAATCGGGACCCACTCATTAACAAGATCATGGAGAAGTCGCAAGGGTCTTTTCTGTGGACAGTGCTCGTTCTCAACGAATTGTCCAAGACCTATACAGAACAGGAGATGGGCCAAGTCCTAGATGATGTTCCAAGAGAAATAAAGCTTCTATACCAAAGATCTCTGGACTCTATGACTCGAGAGCCGCGGAATCGAAGATTAGGGAAAGCCATCCTGACGTGGGTAACATCTACGATCCGGCCGTTACATGTCGATGAGCTGGGATCCGCATTGGAGCTAGATATCGGTGATAGTCTTCCCAAGCTCGAGGAAAGCATAATGGCGCTGTGTGGTCAATTATTAACGATTGACAAGTTTCAAAGAGTGCAGGTGACCCATGAAAGTATCCGTGAATTCCTCTGCGGTGGCGACATCGAATCCGAGTTTGCCGTCGATAAGGTCAAGGCCAACACGCAACTCGCTAAAGCCTGCCTTTTATATCTGACTACCGATGAAATGAGACCGCCCCGAACGGGCAGGCGCGGTATCACTAAGTCTTCCCAGGTCCGCAGCAGGTTTTCCACATACGCTTGCGCGGCCTTTTCCTACCACTTATCCAGAGCGGACCCGCTGGCTGACACTGTACTGGAACTCGTGATGAGATTCCTGAGAGCAAACATTCTTTCCTGGATAGAGGTGATCGCCAAGACAAAAGACATTACTCATCTCATTCGCACGGCGAAACATCTCACAAAATATGCCGATTCTTGCACTCTGCAGAGATCGCCGCTTTGTCACGAATTGCCCATAATCAGAGGTTGGGCAATGGACCTGGCTCGAGTAGCGGCGAAATTCGCCGATGCTCTTATTGCATCTCCTAGTGCAATCTACTCGCTAATTCTTCCTTTTTGTCCCAGCGAATCAACAATCTATAAGACACCAAGCCCCGGGAAAATGGTAGAGGTGTCGGGACTTGGCAAGAGCAACTGGGATGACAGGCTCTCCTGTATGAAGTTTCAAAAAGGTCAGACCACCGCGATCTGTTACGGAGAGAGCTTTTTCGCTGTGGGTCTAAATACTGGCATGGTCGCAATATATCACACTGCAACATGTCAAGAACAGGGTGTGATACAGCATAATGAGGGCGTTAGATTCCTCGAGATCACCAGACCATCAGAGCTCATCATCATTTGTGGACTGAAGTCCATCGCAGTCTGGGAGATTCGCAGTCGCAAGCTCCTACAGAGCTTCGAGTCTCCGCCACAGCCTATCCATATGGTTGTTGATGGCAACTTGCTGCTGGTTGCGTCTGCTAAGAACTTTCTCACGTCCTGGAAGCTCGATGCTGATGCTTCCAGTAATACGAGGAAACCATGGAATGACTCGGCTGATATGATCAGGCACGCACAGCGTGCGCCGTCTGCTCTATCGATATCTGTCGGTCATAAAATGATGGCTGTCGCCTACAGCGGAAGACCTATAGTGCTATGGGACCTGCTTGAGGACGCCTATTTTGGCACTTGTGGAAAGAAGTTAGCCAACGGGGAAACGAGCACCCACTTGGTCACAGCTGTGGTGTTTGACCCGAATTCTGCCATCGATCGACTTGTGGCTTCCTACCTTGATGGAGAGCTTATTCTCTTGAATCCGTTCCAAGACGAAGTCATCTCGAGTGTTCGAGCAAATTGTCACACATTGACAGCTAGTCCAGACGGACATCTACTTGCAGGGGCTGTCGGTTCAGGTACAATTCAGATATATGAGTTCGAAACGCTGACCTTGCTGTACCAAGTACAATCAACGAAGCTACATATCCGACATTTGGCTTTTGGTCAAGATGGACTCCATCTTGCGGATGTCAGGGGCTCAGAATGCAACGTCTGGCAGCCTGCACTCTTGGTTCATGACTCAGCGGGCGATAGCAGCAGCGAACACATGCACATTGCATTTGTCGAAGCAATCACGACGGATGCGAAACCCAAAGTCGTGGCCATCTCAGTCGACACACAACAACAGGCACTCTTCTGCAGTAAAGACGATGGATCTGTATGTCTCTACAATATGCAAACTGGCTCTTACGTCCGCACCTTATACCGGCATAATTCAAGCGTCCATCTCCTGGCCTGGTGGCCCAGCCGGGAAATTATTATGAGCGCTGACACGTCGAATAAGATACACGCGTGGAAGATGGAGCGCCGGCGTCAGGGAGGCTGGGTTCTCGAAGCCCTACTGTTCGATATTCGCCTCGACAGCAACCATGCAATCACGCAGGTTCTGGTAGGGGAAGCAGACGGAAAGTTTCTTGTATCCACGCGCCAGACTGATTATCTTTGGACCATCGATGGTCAGCAGGAGGCCATGAGAGCGCACCCAGAAGCACAAGGCATGCGGAAGTGGCTTCAGCATCCAGAATCAGAACATCATCTGATTTGTGTAGAGGGAGCGATAGTCCGAGTCCACTGCTGGAGTGGCTGGTCTGAAGTCGCAACTGTCAGCCTGGACATCAACCTGACAGGTCATCACTGGAAAAGTATCCACCCATTCTTGTGCCAAGGGTCTCGACACTTCCTCCTCGAGGCATCCGAGCCGAATGGACCAGCTAAGACGTGCGGGCTTTATTTCTATAATGCAACAAAGCTCTCTCTGAGTTCCGAGACTGAGCAGGCCAGGAATCTACAGAAAGGGGAGACTAGTCTTCCGGCTATCTGGTCTGATCGTGAGGATTCAAGCTACAGCAATCCACTCAGTGCTAAGCTGGCGTCTCTTAGCCATCATGTCACCCATGTCATTGGCGTCATCATGCAAACCAGAGTCGTTTTCCTGGACACCCATTCATGGGTCAACAGCTTCGACCTCGATCAGCCTCGAGAGCAGCGTGTCTCATATACCCGGCATTTCTTCATACCCTACGACTGGTTCTCGGGCATACGGAATATTGTATGCTCTCTCAGTCAGCGAAATATTCTGGTTGCGTACAATTCGGACATTGCGGTCATCAAAGGGGGTCTGGATTACTCTCAGGTTGTGGAGATATGATCTGGACGAGGGTCGTTATATGAGGATATAAGCTCCTTTTATGCTTAGTGCTGGCTATGCTTCTAATGTCGCCTTTCCTCACAATGTCTCGCGAGTATACTCCGTGTTGACAGAATATTCGTGAAGCGGTAGAGTCGCATCGATATATACATAGTTTTATCGCTGCTGGTGCCGTCCTATGCAGTGCAACTAGTAAAATCAAGGAGGAGCCAGATGCCAAGGCCCCCGAGTTCAGTGCATGCATTTCCCATTTCACCCCTAGTAGTCTGTGGTTTACCCACGGTACTTCGCAGGGGATGAAAGAGGGGGCGAGAAAGGGAGTCTGGGTCCGTGAAAGTCAGCCATCATCGCAGCCAATGTGTCCTACGTCGCTGATGAGAATGACAATCAGGACAAGTGATTTCGGCATTTCTGATGAAGACATTCTTAGAAGTAATGAGTCTATTCAGGTACCGTGGGGAAAGCTCTTCAAAATGCCCCCTATAGCTATATAAGTGCATTAGGGTTGTTAGGGTCTTAAATTAGGATTATTAGGATTTTTTTTCCGACACCGAAGGTATTGCTATTCGGAAATAAGGTCTGAGAGGGGGCGTCTCCCGCTTACTCCCGGATGGCATATTCTTCTAGCTCCGAAAGTGATTAGAAAAGAGTGGTCTTTGTTTTCGATGTAAGATGAAGGCAGTAGATAAGTCTTTCAAACTTGCTCCTAGGTAGGTATTGCTGCTTCTTAGTGGGAAGATTACAGGAGATAAACTGAAGATAGACTGCGTAAATGCAAATCTGAGATGTTGAAAACCGATACCTGGTTCTATGTCGTCACTTGTAAGTGTCAACCTGCTTTATCTTTTCTTGATTGGTTTTACCTTACTGTTACCGCCTTTTTGTTGTTTGGATATGCTTGTAGACACGACAGTTAAGCTCTCCTACTACCGACAAAGAGGCCTACATCTTTTTGGCATCGCAAAGATTTAGTTTGCCTGAGACAACCACAAGTCAGTAGAAGCCCGTCAATAAAAGGCAAGGAAATCATTACATTTACGGCGAGCGTTCTCGGGCAGGGAGTACCTCCAGGCAGCGAAGAGCTGTAGCCCGGCCTCCTCCTTCATATTGATGTCCAAGCTCTCCTGCACGAGCAGGGTGTCCGGGATCGGCGCGTCGACGCCGACCGCCCAGGGCCTCATCTCGCGGTAGAGACGCGCCCATCGGCCCCGGAAAATCACGCCGTAAAGGGTCACATTGGGGGGATACAGGGCCCGCACGCGGCGGAACTCCAGGTCAAGCGCGTCGACCGGCGCCCCGTTCCAGTCGGGATACGGGTACTGCAGCCAGTAGATGACCGGGCACACTGTGGCCGAACCGACAGGCATCCAGTCGACCATGTATTCCGGGTGCCCAGGCCGCTGGAACCCCCAGGGTGCTGGTGCTACCGAATCGTCGAAGACCGTCCCGTCTTCCCTGGTGATTTGGTTGATCCAGATCACCGAGCGGGCTTCCCTTGCTATGCCTTCACTTGGTCTTGGTGGCGGTGGCGGTGGCGGCGGTACATTTTGACCATCCGGCTCATGCAGAGCGCCAGCCTCTTGCCCGTTCTGCCCATCCTGCCCATCCTCTGCTGCGGTGTCTGGATCGTTGCTCGCCCTAAGTAGCACTGTATCCTCCGGAACTTGCTGGAGCTGTGCCCACTGCTCGCGCTGTTGATCCGCTTGGGGCTGCTGAGCTTGAGGAGCTTGCGGAGGCTGCTGATCTTGAGCGACTTGAGGGGCTTGAGCTTGAGGAGCTTGAGGGGCTTGAGGAGCTTGACGAGTCTGAAAAGCCTGAGAAGCCTGCAGTATAGCCTGTAGATCCCCCATAGCCTCCTGCATTCGCTGAGCTAGCTGAGATTGAGGAACTTGACGAGCCTGTGAAGCCGAAGCCTGTGATGCCTGAGCCTGCAAAACCGGAGCCTGCGGAGCAGGAGGTGCCTGAGGCTGAGGAATTTGTTGGTCCTGCCGGTTCTGCGAGTTGCGCGTATTGCGCTGTCCACGCATGTGCCAGTATGACCTTGACATTGTTATCAATTATGGTTTCTCTTGCAGTTGGTTGCTGTTCAGGTGAATGCAGTGTATGGTATGCAGTTGATGTGAGTTTCAATGCATCACCGAATCCACTGCAAACCAGGGAGTATTTATAGACATCTTTTACCGGCGAATATGTCTGCTTGGTTGTTGGTTCATGAGATGAACGTCTTTAGAGAGGGAGATTTTCAGGCCGATACACGGACTAGGCCAATATGTCTTTGTTCAGAGAGGAAACTCGTTGTTATATCCTGGTACAAGTACATTTAAAAACACTGATTGTTAAGTCATTTCTTCTCTGGATATGCGGACTGACGGACAACCACCCACAACCAAGGCATATCTATACCACCATACCACGGAGTCCTGATCTAACTGTGCACTAATATGGATGAAAGTATGATCACTTTAGACAAAGATGTGCTATTCTAAGAAAAGAAAAAGCAGATCTCAATGATATTTATAGTACATATTTTCTGCCTGGCCTGTACTAGCTTATGATTTGCAACTAGTAGGTAGGTTGCAGACCGGTCCTGTGATATAGTAGTAGATGATATGTATAAGATATAAGAATAAAGTAGATTATACTTATTTCAGAGTAATCTCTTGTTTCAGCTTAAAAAAAGTATGGTTTATCCATAATGTAAATTAGATGCGATGAACTACTATAACGGAGTAGAACACCGTGTGTTAGGCCAGGCAAAAGCACTATCATGCTTATTGCAAGACTGATTATTGAGAATCTAAGTCCCCCAGGCTTAAGAGTCTGATATACAACTTCATGACAGGAGGGGTTGACAATGGAATGACGTGTGAGACCGGATTGTAACCCCAACGAATCAGCGTCGACATAGGAGCAGATGGCAGTATAACTTTAGATCCCTGTTATAAACTTCAGATCCCTGTTATAGATAAGCTCCATAACCTATATTTAAGATGTTACTATTTCTCAAGATGGAGCGGTATAAACATACATAATCAAACTGTTTATATAGAAATCTAACATGATGTAAACTAATACCAGGTTTTAAGGATATTAAATTGTTACTGATTAATAATGCAGTACTTAAGAACTTCTTTTTAGTTAACTGATTTTATTGTGATCTTTTCTTTTTTGTACAGGTTTGTAAGCATCACAACTAGCTACCCCACCGAACAAAAGGCCTATCATTTACCGTGGCATCGCAAGGAGACTGTGCCGCGCCGGTAGGACCTACAAGTCAGCCAAGACCTCACCGATGGGTCACCGGATTAATGGGAATAGCACGCTTCCAATCACCGATCAGGCGCATATGGGCGGGATCCATCAAGTTTAGGTCCCTACTCTCCGCCACCACCTGGGTATCCCGGATCGGGACTTCGACGCCGGCGGCCCAGGGCCGCGCCTCGCGAAAAAGACGTATTATTGGCGACTGCGTGATGCTGCCGTGCAGCGTCACTGCGTGGGGGAACCGTTGCCGCACCAACCGAAACTCCAGATTCAATGCATCCACCGGCGCCCCATGCCAGTCGACGGGGCCTGGGGCCAGCCACCGAATGGCCGTCCAGGCTGTGGTCTCGTTGAGCAGCATGTAGCGGATCTGGTAGTCCGGGTTCCCGACCCGCTGGAACGGTCCTCGTACTTGTATACCTCGTTGGGAGTTGACTCCATTTACGGGGACAAGCCCGGGGTTTGGGTTTGGCCTGTCTACCGGGACTAACCCGTTCACTTGGCTGTTTGGCCTAGCTACTGGATTTACCCCGTTAACAAAGTTAACCCCGTTTACTGGGGGGTTTGGCCTGACTACCGGGACTAACCCGTTCACTTGGGGGTTTGGTCTAGCTAGTACCCCGTGAACCCCGGTAGCTGGGGTTGGCCCGTTCACTTGATTTGCGCCGTGTACTCCGTTTACAAGTACTACGTTCGGTGTGCTTGGCGGAGCAGGCAGGTTTGGTGTGTTTGGCGGAAGCGCAGCGCTCGCCGCATTTCCTGCGTGCGGCGCATTTGGCCCGCCTTGAGCCTGCTGAGTTCCCTGGGCCACCTGCCCATTCGGGTCCGCCTCCTCGCCCTCGTCCTCGTCCTCTGCCGTGACTTGCACCTGTTGAGCCTGCTGCGCTTGCGGAGGCTGCTGTGCCTGAGGGGCTTGCGCAGGCTGCTGTGCCTGGGGATGTTGTTGTGCCTGTGGAGGCTGCTGTGCCTGCGGAGGCTGCTGTGCCTGTGAAGCTTGCTGAGCCCGTGGACCCCGGTGACCCCGCGAGTTGCACGAGGTACGCTGACCGGGCTGGTTCCAATAATTATCCGACATGATGGTCAACTGATTCGGTTCTTCTTGAAAACAGTTGCTGTTCGATAGACGGCAAGTGTATGCTCAGAAGTATACCCGTGTGGTATGATACATGCGATAATCCCACAGCGAACCATAGAGTACTTATATACCATCGCTGGGCGAATGTGTCTCTTTCATAGTTGGTGACGATACTCGGTGGAGATATTGGTTCCCGGAATGTCGCGCGGAATATATCGAGGCTCTTTGTTGAGATAGAAGATTCATTGTCCTATACTCGAAGGGATTGGATCTTGGTTAGTGGAGGTTAGTGAGAACGAGAAGGTTTTTCCTTGTCGGGGGGGTGGGGGATTGTTGGGAACCGGCAAGGTGGCTTTGGTGTCCAGGGAGTGGAGTTACTGGGAAACCCTTTTCGCCATGAAGGGAGCTTTCCAGGATTCATGGTGATGGAGTTTTTGATTAAACCGAGTAAATTGTTCTATGAACGTATGCGATCAGCTGCGTTGATGGCAATAACGATAGCCGTTGAGGGTTGCTTCTCGTCCGCAGGTGGAACATCTACGTAGTACTGAGTGAGACATTAGGAACACAAAAAGCAGATCGATGGGATAGATAGGGCTAAAGTGCCAGGTGGGGTGAGTGAATGCAGTCGGAGAATGGATCCAAATAGATGCTGGAAGAAGCAAAAAGGAACGACCGAGACGCGACTCGAACGCGCAACCACTGCCACATCCCTAACCGGAAGGCAGCGCGCTACCATTGCGCCACCCGGCCATTTCTATGTTTAGTGCCTGCTTGCTGCGTTTGTCGTATGCCAATTGTCAGTGACGCCGATATGACAATCTGAAGCTCACTTGTCGCATTACACTCTCTCTGAGCATAGTAGCAGGTAGCTTGACACTTTTCATTTCAGTCTCAAGCTAAATCATTTTCCTGAAAGAAATATTCTCTCCCAACGCTTCTGTTCGATGTGTCGCTTTCGAGACAAGGATTCGAGGCCCACCCACCCAGTCCATTGGAGGCAACTCACAGTGGCAGGTTCACAATGTGGTTCGAGTCAATTCTGAGACTATGTTGCGTGCCAGACAAGATAAGTATTGAGATAAATCCTCAGTCCTCGACATAAGAGTTCGATTAAGAGAGTGTGGTGGCCATTGCTTTCTTGGTTTTGTTGATGCGGGATGGAGCGAAGTCCAACTTCGGCATCATCCCACAACTCTGCTCGAACACAGATGGGCAATCATGTCTGCAATACCTCTTACTTACTTAAATATTGCCTGAATAGACCTGTCCTCTGTTTCCCCGCATATTGTGAGTGATCTGCACGGGTTTGGTGGAATGTCAAGCTTTCCCCCCCTTTCATTTACCCATTTAGCCAGAATGCTTTATTTGGTGTCTCCGATGTATAAATATGGTAAGGGCGCGGATTGCAAGAACATCACAGCATCCCCCAAAAATAAGAAATATCACCATGCAGATTATCGGCTATACGGCAGCAGCCGCACTTGTCTCTGGCCTTGCAGCCGCTCAGTCTTCACACTGGGTCGATATCTGGACTGCCATGCCGCAATTGACCGAGCCGGCCAATCTTCCTCCGCAGCCATTTGTAAGTGTATCCGTTACAGTTGCAGTCGCGCTTCATGCAACTCATCCCCACAAAGAATTCCAGTTCCACCATCTTCCTCAACACAACAATTCGACAGACCCTGCGACTCACTCATCCTGCCTCGACGATTCGTCTTCGGCTCTCGAACGCTTTTGGTGTGGAGGATCTCGACGTCGCCAATGTGTCTCTGGCCCTTCCTTTGCAGAATGAGCTTGGTACAAGCGTCATCGTTCCAGACACAGTTCAAACCATCCTGTTTGATGGCTTTGATAGCATTATCATTCCTCCTGGCAGCTTAGCTGTATCGGACCCGATCCAACTACCTTCCACCCAGCTGAACACGACCATCACGGTCGATATCTATCTGGCAAATGGTCAATCAGGCGGAGCCATCACCTCCCACCCGGGTAGTCGCACAACTTCGTGGATGCAGTTTGGAAACTCAATCGGGATAACCAATTTCACAGACCCATCCGTAGCCAGCGTGGAGCATTGGTACTTGACCCCTCTCTCTTGAAATCTCCCACTAACAGAAGGCAGGTACTTCATAAGCACCGTTGAGGCCTTCCTACCGAACACAGTCAAAGCCTGCGCCCTGCTGGGCGACAGCATCACCGACGGGAGAGGCAGTGACAACAACAAGAACAACCGGTAACCCTCTACCTCTCCGTCCATAATAACACCCATACCCACACCCACACAAACCCAAGCCCAAAGCTAATCAAAACTCAGATGGCCCGACATCCTCCTCGCGCGCATGCAATCCTCAAAGCCCAACGCATCCCTCTCCCAAATCCCCCTCCTCAACCAAGCCGCCGGCGGCAACCGCATCCTCCACGACAGCCTCGGCCCCTCCCTCCTCTCGCGCATCGACCGCGACGTGCTCGCCCACACCCAAGTCCACTGGACCATCCTCTTCGAAGGGGTCAACGACATCGGCACAGCGGACACCTCGCCCACCAATCAGACCATCACCGGCGACCGGCTCATCCGGGCCTACCGCCAGATCGTTACCCGGCTCCACGCGGTCGGGATCCCGGTCTTCGCGGCGACGATCACGCCCTTCGGGACCCCGGCGAATGCATCGGTGGTGCAGCCGTATTCCGACCCGGAACGGGAGCGGACGCGGCAGCGGGTGAACGCATTCATCCGGGACGGTGGAGTGTTCGACGCGGTGCTGGATTTCGATGCCGTGCTCAGGGATCCGGAGGATCCGGCGGTGCTGCGGGCGGAGTTTGATTCGGGGGATCACTTGCATCCCAATGTCAAGGGATACGAGGCTTTGGCGGGGTCGGTGGATTTAGGGATCTTCTCTCGCTGAATGAGTCGACCTATGGGATGCCTTGGTTGGGGTATTGAATGGGTGGATGGTATGTTCCGAGAGTTAGGGCTGCCTATGCATTCCTTTGGACTCGGCACTGGCTAAGAGCAGTATAACTTTTCCCGACAGAAATTGGCATACAATCATTCTCATTGTCTCATTAAAGGATTGCCTGACATTCAACACCTAGTTTCTATCCCTTGACACAATCCCGATGAACGGAAGACACCCTGCAAGTTGGATTGCCTAGCCTTGCAAACGCTAAACGTTTACCATAACCGAACCATTATATCAAGAACTATAAACCCTCCAACGAGACTCGATTTAAGATTCAGAGTCAATAAATGTCTAAGAGAGTGACCCATCCCCCATTACAGCAAACAAAACCCAACCAAATCCAGCACAATGCCAACCCCACCAATCCCCCGCCAAGTCACAAACATCATGAAGAAACCCAAGCCTCCAAGCCAGGGCCTTCCCTCCACTCCCAAGGTTAAAAAAGTCCCCGCCCGCAACCTCCCTACCCGCAGTGGAGAAATATCATCGCCCCGGTCATTCTCCAACCTCCCCACCCGACAGAAAAACAACAGCCACTCCAATCCAACCCCGCATGCTGCTAGCCTGAACCCCCACAGGGGGCAAAACGGTACTCCAAAGCTCAAGTCCCAGGGAGAACCAAAGAGCAAAGTGCCTGTGCCCCTGCTCGTGCCATTGTAAGCACTGCGCCGCGATGCCCCCGCTCTAGCAGCGATTCTCAACGACGTGGGTCGCCTGCGACTGATCTTTGTGGTCGTCGATGATCCGGATACGCTGGAGGGAGCGCAGCGGGGGGCGGTGGGCTTTGTGTATCGGGATAAGGGTAGGGCGATGGTTGTCTATTGGGATTGCCCGAGAACCCACTGGACTGCTGGGGAGAGGTTGTTTGATCCTGGGGTCTATGAGGTGATTGAGCGGGCGGTTGAGTATGCGATTGGTGGCGGTGAGGGGGGCCACTCGGAACAAGGGCATAGTATTGGTAGAGGGCTTGAGGTTCGGCCTGTGAGGATGAGGGGTCTGGAGTCTGGGTGATGGTCTGTCTCTACGAGGATGCGTAGAGGACATCCCTCCCCGGAGGGTGTGCCTACATTATCCCGGCTCTTGCTTTTCCAGTGGTTGTAGCTTTCGACGGGGCTTGTTATTAAGAAGATGGTTCTTGCTGTTCTGGATGCAAGCTGTGATGGGCAAAAAGCTAGCCTGCCATTAGAGCTTGTAGTTGTTCTGGTGGGTAGGGGCTTAGGAGACCTTTTAATGCGAATTGGAAATTGACTTTATCCTAGGAGTACGCGTGGTATCAAACGTAGACGAGAGACTGTGCTTAGCTCTTTGTTGTCGTAGTTACAGCCGCTTGCCAGGCATTTCTCATAGTGTAGCATATCACACTTTCCTTCTGCCCAGATGATTTGCAAGACTGCATCGAGTACATGATCTAATTCTTCGATTCCCCATCAATATACAAACGATGTGCCGTCTGGTATACCCACGCTGTTGTCTGATTTGAAAATTGGCTCTTGGTCTACCAGAAGGTAGTGGCAATTATCGCAACAAGCGTGAGCGACGACTTCATCTCTGTACACGCAGGAAGAGCGATCAATGCGACCTGATTGGGTCAATGAGAAGTATAAGCCGTCGACACACGTGACCTGGCTTTATTGTCTTCAGACAAGGGCAGTAATTGTCTAGAACAATGGGCATTCATCCCCTTTGTGACGAACACGCTACGTTGACGAGAATCATAGCCCACAAGCCCGTTCATCATGCACCAAGAAAAGACACATACAGAATACTTAAGCAGTCAGATTGCTCTGCTTGCTGGATCTGGCGCTCGATGTTCTATTATACACAGCAGTCACATCTGATCCTCAACCCACAACCAAACACCTACCAGCAGAAACGAAGTACTTCCACCCATACAGCCTCAATCCACTGCCCGCCAACCAACAATGTCTTCATCGGCTTCCTTCTCCCTCTTCCCCTGTCTCCCCTTCGAGCTCCGCGACATGATCTGGAAACTCTCCCTGGATCACATCCCTCGCTCTACCGGGGAGCTCATCGACCCAGGAAAGGTCATCCTCCACCCCATCCAGCGACACCACTGGCAGGCTCGTGCTGTCCTAGAACCGGGTCACGACCAGGAGGGCGAGGAGGGTGCACTGACGACCCTCAGGGTGCGATACCCCATCCGCCACTTCCAGGTGAACCGGGAGGCTCGCGCCGCTGCAAGCGCCTATATCACCAAGCAGGAACGACGAGGCGTCTGGTTGGAGGAGCACTCGCGTTGCGCCAACCCACGCCGGTGCGCCCTCTTCTTCGACTGGGAGCGGAAGGCGCTCACCGCTCCACAGGCCCTAGACGGGCTGGTGGGCGATGCGCTGTTCCTGTCACTTGCAGAGTACCAGCGGTACTGCGAGTCCTCTCCGGCAGGGGGCAGCACCAGCAGCACCAGCGCCAATGGGGCCGAGCAGGAGCAGCAGCAGGTGGTGCGGTGGGGAACCGAGTGGCGTTGGAGCCCTTCGGGGGGGGACATTTGGTGGTCCCAAGAGGAGCAGTGTGCTAAAAGATGGCCTCGAGAGTTCGATCGGCTGAGGATGGCGATGGAGGAGCCAAAGGTGGCTTTGGCGGTGCCGATGGAGCTGCTGCGGAGGGATCCGAACGCCTTGACAAATATCCTGCGGTGGCAGGGTCCGGATACACGGTCCGGGCCGCAGTTTACTGACCTCGTCCTCATTGTGAATGAGCTGCCTGACCGTGGGGACCAAAATATGGGGGAAGGGCATTTGTGCGTGGAGGTCATCGAGGATATCTCACAGGACGGGTGGAGAGAGGCTGCGGGGGATATCGGACTTAGTTGGAAGGATTTGATGCGCATTTCGAAGGCGGAAGCGCTGGCCTGGGATTATGGTTCATTCTGTAACATATTGGCTGTGCGGGTTGTTCCCTTGGGGTCAAGTACTGTACGGTGATGTAGATTCAATTCAAGTCTTTGTCTTCCCTTTCTCCCTTCATCCTTTTCTGCTTCTTTTTTTTTTCTTTTCACAGGTAAGTGCCATAATTTCTGCAAAGTATTACTTTGATTCCATGTAGGATAACACTCTGCCTACTCCCTCCGCTCCAACCGGACCGTAAAATGCCTCAACACCGGCTTCTCCTCCACAATCCGCAATCCCCGCGTGATCTCCGACCTGCGATGATACACCTCAATCAACGCCTGCGCCACATACTCCAGCTGCGCATCGCTATACACCCTCCTGGGCACCGCCAACCGCACCCACTCCGTCTCCGCGAAGCGCTCCTCGCCCGTCTCAGGGTCCCGGCCCTGCAGCAACGTCCCGATCTCCACCCCGCGCACGCCACCCTCAACATACAGCTCCACTGCCAGCGTTTGCGCCACATACTCCTCGCGCGGCACCTGCGGCAGGAACCTGCCCGCATCTATAAGAATCGCATGCCCGCCCACCGGCAACTGAATCGGAATCCCCGCCTCGACCAACCGCCGCCCGAACCGTTGGACCTGCCCGATGCGCGAGCGCAGATACTCTTCGGAAACCACCTCCTCCAAGCCCACCGCCAACGCGCCCAGGTCCCTCCCCGCGAGACCCCCGTACGTCCGGAACCCCTCGAAGAGGATCACATACTCCAGCGCCCGGTCGCACCACTCACGGCGCCGGGTGGCCAGGAACCCGCCGATGTTGACCAGCCCGTCCTTCTTGGCGCTCATGAGCATCGCGTCCGCTAGCGCGAAGACCCTCTGGGTGATTTCACGAATCGACATATTCTGATACTGGGGCTCGCGCTGCTGGATGAACCACGCGTTCTCGGCGAAGCGGGCCGCGTCGATGACGAGGGGCTTGCCGTAGCGGTCCGCGAGTTCTTTCACGGCGGTCAGGTTGGCCAGGCTGACCGGCTGCCCGCCGTTCGTGTTGCAGGTGATGGTCATCACGACGAAGGGGATATCCTGGTGGCGGGATTCGAGGAGATTGCGCAGCTTGTCTAGATCTATGTTGCCCTTGAACGGGTTGTTGCTGTCGGTCACATCGTACGCCCCCTCCGGCAGACAGTCGACGGCGGTGGCCTTGCGGAACTCGATGTGCGCGCGTGTGGTGTCGAAGTGGGCGTTGGCCGGGATGAGCTGGCCCTCGTGTACGAGCACTGAAAACAGTGCGTTCTCCGCGGCGCGGCCCTGGTGTACCGGGAGGATGTGCTCTAGCCCGAAGAGGTCTTGGACTGTGCGTTGGAGGCGGTGGAAGGAGGACGAGCCGGCGTAGGACTCATCGCCCGTCATGATCGCGCCCCACTGGCTGTTGCTCATTGCTCCTGTGCCGCTGTCGGTGAGGAGGTCAATGAACACTTGGTCGCTGGTGAGGGCGAACAGGTTGAATCCTGCTTGCTCGATCCATTGTTTGCGTTGTTCGGGGGTGGAGGAGCGGATCCATTCGATGGTTTTGGTGCGCCAGGCTTCTGGGGTGGCGGTGTTGGGCATGGGTGTGGGTGTTAATTTGTCTGTGATGACTTTGTGGTAGCTCTGATAGGAGATGGGTGTCTGTGCGGTATTTTGAATGGAAGCTGTAGTTCAGAGATAGGGTTTCCTACTAACTTCGACTCAACTTATATATATGCTTTCTCCGTACAGTCTCATGTCGAGTGATGTCTTCTGCAGTATACTTTGCAAGAATACCTTCTTGCCTCAACGAAAATGCACGTCTACAGGTTTAGAAGACTGTATGATGATTTGATTCAGGGCACGAGCATTGGAATAGCGTTGCAGCTGTTGTCACCTGGACTGACTCTCCGTAAGAAGCGGCTTGGCACACCTCATATTAACCGGAAATCTAGAGGCTGATGATGCAACTCAGCAGGGAAATTCATCTCTCGTGCATGATAGACTGTTGAAACAAGATTAAATGATCATTAAAGCCTGATTCGGGCATGAGAGTTCTGCAACAAACCTAAAACGGGAGATTTATGCACGAGCCCGCGGCCCGGGGTTCGTGAGCGGGAAATGCAGTGGTGCGGCCCGGCGGCCTTTGATTGGTTCAAGGTCTTCTAGAGTCTAAGGTATCAGCCCAACTGTGTTGCTGGAGATCTTGGACATGGAATGCTCTGTGAGTAATAGCTGGGTTGCAGTTGAGATCTCAGTGTGGCTTGGGCTGGAGCATTTCTTCAGAACCTAACCTCTGATTGGTGGAATGAATTATTCTATGTAGGTCAAATACTGCGTCGCATGAGGATTGAACCATATGCTTTAGTCATTAGCCAAAACCCCATACCACATTCTTTCATAACCAATGCAGTACACATTTGCGCCGGGTGCTAGCTACAATGAGGCAATTATTTGCACGTATAATGAGACATAATTCAGCAGGACCCCGCCAATCCATAATGACCCCCCCCTCCCCCAAAAAGTCTTCTAGGCCCGATAAAGAAAATTCCAGATAGCAGTTGAACCATAAGGCCCAGCAGTCTAAGTGTAAGCTGGATTGAAGACGGGTCCGGGAAATAGGTCATCCGGGGCACGGGAGGGTTATTCGGCCAATATGATGCATTCCTCGATTATAGTACCAGGAAAGTATACACACACTGGTTAAGCTTATCTTAGGGCTCCACAGTCCGGTAGTGAGAATAACCGGCCCTTCGAGTATTGACTATAGAAGGTTAAGTCAGGTCCCAGAGCTCCCGAAATCGGCACGGGATTTGAACTGCGTGAGGGAAGCATCACAAACCCCGGGATGCCGATGATCCTTATCTTGTCAGTTTACCTGGGTATCAGGGAGGTGCAGATAGCAAGATATCAGTACAGACACGATGGCAAGATCGCACATCACTATCGGGGAAGGAAGAAGTATAAGTACAGGTTTGATGCTGGTAATCGACAACACATCTTCCTCTATTCAACCTACCCAACAATGAAAATGCGGGCCCTCCACCTCCTTGCCCTCCACCTCCTCAGCACCTGCCATGCCACCGCCATCCACCAGAAAGACTACACCAACCTCACGGTAGCGGTAGTCCGTGCTCCACCCGCCAACTGGCCCCTGCCAGTCATGAACAAGACCTGGACGGACAACCCCTTCGACCTGAACGCCACCGTCGCCAAAGCAGTAGACTACATCGCCGAGGCCGCCATCAACGGCGCCAACTTGATCGTCTTCCCCGAACTCTGGTTCCCAGGGTGAGAGCCCCCGTGCCCCAAACCCCCTTCGCAATCCACAACTAACCCCACAAAAACGCAACAGCTACCCCAAAGGCCTAGCCAGCAACACCAGCATAACCCCCGCCCAACTCACCTCCTACCTCGCCAACTCCCTGACCATCCCCAGCCCGCAATGGACCCGCCTCCTCACCGCCGCCCAAACCCACGGCATCTACGTCGTCCCCGCCTTCTCCCACCGCATCGCCAACCACATCTTCATGGCCCAGGCCCTGATCTCCCCAACCGGGGAGACACTACTCCTACGACATAAACTCCGCCCCTCCGGCGGCGAGCGCACCCTCTGGTCGGACGGTACCCTCGACGGATTGCAGGTGATTGCGACGCCGTACGGTCGCTGGGGATTGCTAGAGTGCTGGGAGCACTTCCACCCCTCGATGACGTTCAATGTCCAGGCGCAAACGGAGACGTTGCATATTGCCTCGTGGCCTTGTTAGTCCCTTCTTTCCCTGACCCATAGCTAGGTGGATCTCAAGCCTGCTAGATCGCGTCTTTAACAAATGGTGCGACGCAACCCCCAACTAACAAGTGCGTGGACTCAGATATGCCCGACGCGAACACCCCGGAAGCAGCGTACTGGGAATCGAACGAGATCAACGTGGCCGCGGCGCGGACGTACGCGGTCAACGCCGAGGCGCCGCTGGCGATGGCGGCGGTGGGGAATGCCAGGCTGTTGAGTGCGGAGGGCTTGGATGAGGTGGTTGTTGGGGCTGGGGTATCGTTTGCGGAGGTGCCGATGGTGTATGCTTCATTCAATACGACGGGGCTGGCGGGGACGCTGCCGTTTGATACTGAGGGGGAGCTGTCGTGGGGGACGCTGGGGCAGATCGTGCGGGGGTTTCCCGGGTATATCCCTAAGGTGGTTGGGGAGTTCGTGGAGAGGAGTTTTGTGGATGTTGTGGGGTTGGTGCAGGAGTTGAGGTCGGATTAGGTTGGAAAAAGGGGAGGGGGCATTTTTGGTCTTTGTTGGTTAATTGTAGAATACTGGGTTTACTTCTAGGGGTCTTTTGTGTGGTTTCCGGTTGCTCCTGTCAAGTTTGATTGATGGGTGGAGGGGGAAGAACGCGAGGACCACGAGATTAGGGCTACGATTTGCTGATGACTCTGGCTTGGTGCGTCCGTCGCGAGAGTCACTGAAGGGAAGCTGAGGAACGATTCTAAAATCATGACTCGCCATAAGGCTATCTTCCTCGGACGATCTAGGTTCGAGATGACGCGCCACTAATCTAGCACCCTTCATCTCCTGCAGGAATAAATTCCCCATAGTCAATCTCTTGTGCCTCTCCAAAATACCCCCATCGACTGATATACGCCTCCATCGCATGCAGTCCGCCATTGGTCGTCGCATAAACCCCGAGTAAGGCCCCTATACGGTGGACCACGTCAGTCAATGCCCAAAGCAGAATCATAAGAACGATAACCCACCAGTTCCCGCCCCATCCCCACTGATGAATGTAGTATTCACCACCCCCAGCACCAATCCCTCATTCGATTTCCCCTTCTGTGCCGCACTGAACGCAAAATGTGTAGTATTCACCGTGTGAATGGCAAGCCTCACCGAACCTCCCTTATCCCAGCTGTCCGGAACCTTTACCACCACCGTCTCAGGTACACGGCCTGCAAGTCCCGTCTTCCCCGACACCGTCGTCCGCAAGCGCAGATACAACCCTGTTGCATTCCCCTTCGCTGCAGCTCCTGCTTCCACCCCAGCACCTGTTGACACCCCATAATACACCCCCAAGTCAACATGCTGCCCCTGATTCAAGAACGCGGTAACGCCAACCTCATCCTCCTGCTCGGTCCCGGTAGCAAAACCCAGCATAACATCCACCTCGAACCGAAACAACGAATGCGTCTGCCTCCGCGCAACAAACGTCAACCCATCCGTTGCCCGGAAACCCTCATCGCCCGTCAAGTTGGCCCGACTGGCCATCAACCGCAGTACATTCGGTCTCTCCGGCGGACTAACCACATAATCCCAGGGCCGGACCGGCGCGCGCCAGAACACCCACTCCGCCGGCAAGGTACTCCCCGGCTTGAACACCACCACCTCACGCGCATCACCCACAAACTCCAGTCCCTGGCCCTGCCCCCCACAACTCACCGACGGCAACGGCCCCTCCATGCGCCCACCCACCCTCCCCACAGCAACCGGCCACCCGCCATCCTCCCACCAGACCGGAAACAGCACCGTTTCCCGGCCCATGGGATACACACTCTCCTTATACAACCGCGGCCCGCCACGCGTCGCCAACGCCACCCCCCACCAGTTCCCGTCTGCATCAGCAAACAAATCCGCATGTCCGACCGTCTGGAAATACGCGTCCGTGTGCGCGTTACTCACGAGGGGGTTGTGGGGACTCGCCTCCCAGCTCCCATTCACCAAGTTCCGGGACCGCGCGAGCGTGGCCGCGTGGTGGAGCTGCGTGCCCCCCTCCGCGATCAACAGATAATACCACCCGTCTTTGCGGTACAGATGGGGCCCCTCGGGACTGCTGCCCCCGGTGCCGTTCCACAGGGGGAACGGGGTGCTTGCGGTGCCGGTGGCGAGATCGACGACCGAGGCGCGGATGGGCGAGCCGGAGTGTGCCATGATCATCGTGCCGTCGGCATCGATGAAGAAATCCGGGTCGATGGCGCCCGTCGGGTTCGCGATGGGCAGGGGGTCGGACCAGGCGGTGCGGTTGTAGGGGTCTGTCGTTGTGAAGAGGAGGAACTGCGGGGTGCTGGGGGAGTCGGAGTCGACCCAGGCGGTGATCAGGTAGAAGGTCTTGTCGTGCAGGCGTAAGGTGGAGGCGAAGAGGCCGAGGGTTTGTTGGTTGGTGTCGTCGCGCAGGGCGGGGAGCTGGCTGGCGCGGTGGACGGCGGCGCTGGCCTGCGTCCAGTGCTGGAGGTCCCGGCTGGCGTAGATGGGGCAGCCTGGGAAGGTCAGGAAGGAGGAGCTCGTGCAGAAAAAGGTGTTGTTGTGGGTGGGGGAGAAGACGCAGCTTGGGTCGGAGTGCCAGCCGGGCAGGATGGGGTTGGTGTATTGGTGGTGTGGGGTGTGGGGGGGTGCATTGGTGCTGAGGGTGGCGGTGAAGAGGAGGGAGGAGAGGAGAATCCAGCGCCGCATTTTGAGGCTGGGTTGTCGATCGAGGTATCTGGTGCTGAAGGAGGGTAAACTCACTTGGTATTGTACATGCTTTGTAGTTATGCTCTACCTACAGTAGAGCTCGAAATTCCCGAATGTGGAGCCGAGACCCCCTCAATCCCCGCATTTGGGGGATGGATGGTCTTTGCGGCATGAGCAAAACTACCCATTCTTTCGGCTCTAACAGCCCGATTCCAACAGCATGCATATGAGACCAGGCTAAGTTCGCGTACCTTGAGATGAAGCCAGTTTCCGCGCCGCAAAGTAAGCTTAACCACCACAAACTCGGTCCACGCCGGGTAAAACACCGGGCGGACCTCGTGCCCTAATCAGCCTATATATGGGTTCGACGTCTGGCCGTGGTCCTCATCCACCAGTATGGAGTATTTCGGCACGTCGAAGCGGCAGTTCGTGTAGATCACCGAGGGTTTATCTTTGGCTGGGTGTCAGGTAGAGCTCTAAACCGCGTTACATACCGAGATCTTGAGGAGGCGGAAGCCAGTGTAAAGCCTGCGCTTTGAATCCTTCCCCGTATCCATACAACGTCTGCTTGGCATTGGGGTGCACACTAGCCAGTTACTGAAACCCATCTTCCCTGGAACATTGCTACCTACCTCTGCATGCTCTAGCATACCTCTGTTTCTGGCCGTATACCTGGATACGCAGCCACGCAGTCGATTTCTCTTATATAGAACTTGTATCCTATAATCCGCTCTTCCATTTGCATAAAAGTAAATCTATTATCGAATTGAGAGAAACAGCCAACAATAAAACAATAATAGTCATTTAACACGAGAAGAAGGCACTAAGAAACTGTGCGCAGCAGTGTCCCTTTGACTAATCTGGAAAATATGTCATCCTCGATAGTCATCCTCGCCATCCAGGTCGTGTTGTTCTGAATAACCTAAGGCTCTCAATCCGGCGCATCAGGTCCGGTAAGATCAGGCCTGACCGCCCTACCCTCCAGCCAATCCTTACACTTACCATACAAAACATCTCGCTCGGGGCCATGACTAGCCAGGTATTCAAATTCAGCTTGGAAGAACGCCCACTCTTCCCCTCCGCCCAAGCGAGATAGCGGTAACCCAAGGGCAACCCATCAACCTCCTCCTCCTCCTCAGAAATCGAAAAGTCTTGGCGAGGTTGACGGGGACGAATTTGTCCTTGTCGAAGAGCAGGGTATAGAAGCAAACACTCCAGCGGCCCTTACGCTTTTCCAGTAGAAAGAAGAACCAGCAGTCGGCCTCGTTGTTCATCTCCACACCATCGAAGGTGAAGCGGCAGGTGATGGTCTTCATCTTGCACACCGCACGGGTCAGGTCCGGGTCGACCTCCACCGAGGCACCGCAGCTCCGGTGCATGATGTACATGAAGTTCGAGCCCGCGGCGAAACCGGCCTTCAAGGCCTCAATGAACTCGTCGATAGGGCCTTGCTTCCAGGAGGTCGCAATGTAGGCGTCGTCGAAGCAAATGGAGCGGTAGTTCTGCCACCCGCATCAGGCCAATAGCCTTCACGTATAATTTATACAAGAATCAGGGCTAGGAAGAAAAACGAACTCGGCGGCATCCCGGTAGCTGCCCCATCCCCTCGCAGAGCTCGCGGATCTTGAGGCGCTCGAGCGCCTCCCGGTCGAGATCGGTGCCCGTGGCGTTGTTGCGAAGGGCGCTCGGGTCGTTGGTGTGTTCTGCCGGAGGTGTGACGGGGTAGCGGAGGTCAAAAGGCAGAGTGAAGATCTGTGATTCAATGAATGGATATACTCGGGGTGGAAAGTGTTGCTGTGAGGATTAACTTACACAAGGCGAGTAAAAGCTGCTTAAATATAGGGTCCATTTTTTTTTGAAGCACGGCTTGGAGGCTCGATTGACATCACAATGTTTTCTTTTCGCCCCTCCACATGATTGTGCATCACACAATTCCTAAATTCAGTGGTCGAGGTCGGCAGCACCGGAAATAGGTGGTCCCTTGCTTGCATCTCGACAATGGCTATTTCCGTCTCGGTGAGGAGTTCCGCCCTCTGGGCTGCTTGCATTCGTCTTTCAGCTGCTTTGGGTTATGAAGAAAGGGAAAGCTTGTTTTTGACAACCTTAAATTTGGGGCGAAGGTTTAAAATGTCGGGCTGGAGACGTAGGTTTGAAGCCCCCTATGCTATCCTTAGTTGCGCAGGAGGAATGAGAGACGAGAGTGCTAGTTCATCTTACATCAAATAATCCCAACAGCTATCCTTGCTTTCAAAGGATTGATCGAAGGTAGTCGAATGCACAAACATTGGTCTCATACAAATCTGTAATATTATATTGGTCTAATCTATCATTACATCCGCACACATGATCGTAAGCATTTCTAGGTCTTTACAAACGGACAAAGCGCTTGCCCATGCTGCGCTTCTTGAGAATGGCGCCGGCCTCCTCGAGAGCCTGGGCACGGCCCGGACCGTAGTCGGGGGTGGCACCGAGGGTGCCGAAGATGTCACCGATGTAGTTGCGGGGCTTGATGCCGGCGGCGAAGGTGGTGTTCCAGTTCGCCAGGATACCCTCAACGATCTTGATACCGGCGTTGTACAGGTTCTCGACGGCGGGCTCGAAGGCGCCCTGGGTGGAGTAGAGCAGGTTGTAGCGGGCGGTCTCGCCGGGGTAGGGGCGGTCAAAGTCCGAGGCGGTGCGCATGACGATGATGCGGGAGAAGTCGGTGAGATTGTGCTTCGAGGCGCGGACGAGGGCCTCCAGGGTGGCGTTGTCCTCCTGGGCGGTGGTGCAGTACTCGCCGGTGCCGTTGGTCCAGATCTTGGTGGTGTTGTCGAAGGCCTCGCCCAGCAGGCGGCCGCTGAAGTAGACGTCACTGGTGGTCACGTCGCACAGGCGGACGGAGGGGCCCTGGGTGCCGGCCTGGTAGAGACCGTCCTCGGTGGCGTACTTGGCGCGGTAGGCCTTGGCATCGTCGCTGTCGGCCAGGGTGGCGTTGCGGGCGAAGCCGGCGGCGATCTTGCGCAGCTCGTCGTTCACCTCGAACACCTCCGTGCCGTAGATGCTGGTGGGGTACTGGTCGGCGTAGTAGCCGCCCTGGGGGAAGTAGCCCGTGGTGGCGTTGGCGGGCATCTCGCGCATGTCAATCTCGTACTGCAGAGCCACCTGGATGGCAAAGCGGGCGAAGGTCACGTCGCAGATGCTCGCGCGCTCGGGGTTGACGCCAGCAATACCGGCGACGAGGAAGTAGGTCTTGGTCAGATCGAACATGGGGTTGAAGACGACCGACGCGACGGTGATGGCAGCGTTGATCTCGGATTCACCAGTGATGAGCTGGCAGATGGTGTAGTCCGCCGTGCAGTGGACATCGGGGAAGGCGGGAGAAGCGCCAGGGATGGTGATGTTGTGAGCCAACAGATCGAACTCGGGGATACCCCACCAGATCTCGGCCTCAGGCGCGAACTGCAGGCATCGTGAGTTGGGGGTCATGCTGTGCTAGAAGTTGCTGGGCTTACCATCGACACGATGAACACCTTAGGGGTGATCTTGGCCGGCGTGTGGCTCACGGCCACATCGCGGGGCTGCTGCACAGGGACAGAGCGAGCCGTAGCCAGGGAAGACAAGCAGCTGCCGGCGAGCAGGAAGCCCGCGGTGACGGATTGGAGGAGCTGCATCTTGTGCGCGTTCGGAAATGTGAGAGAGCACACTTTCTTCCCAGTGAGAGGTTGCGCGACACCTCTTATATAGAGTCACAATTGGTAGAAATTTCCTGGGCTTCGCGCGGGAAGCAATCGGGAAGCAGTCGGCAAGCACCGATCCATGAGCAAGTCCACCTGCAGGAAAAATTGGGATCCATCATCCATAGATGAGCTGATTAGGAAGGATCAGCGCTGATAAGTTAGGAGTAGCGATCGGCAGTCGAAGCAGCTTATCCAGCAAGCCAATGATCGTCGTTGTATTGGTGCCAAACCAGCCTTCTGGCTGAAGAATCCCCACTTCTAACGTGATTTAGCCAAGCCCGGCCACGGTTTGTTTTCCGTGGTTCCACTGTTGCAATGCTGCAGAAAATGGCTGGGTGATCTCCAGCGAGAACGAACTCCCAGCGTGAACGGGCATGTACACCTGAGTTGTTCAGTATTCAATGATGCTGCATAAGATGACACGTACAATCGATGAGCTCACAGCTAGCGCAGGAACCGATCGGAGACATCCGAATGATAGCAAGGCTGCCAGTGATAAGATGAGAGCACAAGACTGAGGAGGATGGAATCAGCGATAAGGGCACCCGTCTTGTGCGGTGGAGCTTCATTTATCTGGTTCTTATCGCGCCCTCGCCCTCCAGTCAGAAGGAGGGTCAGTTATCAGCGGCCCACCGGACTCCTGTTGACTCTCCATCCTCCCAGTCAGGGCAAGACACCCAGCACGGCGAAGAGGCGACTATCACCGTTTGTCTTCGTCGGAGGTGGCCGCTCCCTGCATGACAGCCAGCGATGAAGTCAAAAAGATAGCTAAAAGGCGGGGAAGTGGATAAATCGACCGGAGTAGACGGGGAAAAGAGTTGAGGGGAAGCTTCGAAGAATTCTTTCTCGAAAGCTTCTGGCCGCCAGGGCACGTGACTGCGATCTGAGAAAAGCTGGAACCATGATAAACAAAAAAAAAATAAAAAAATTGAGGCTTTTTTCAGCGATGGGGACACCACCTCCCAACTTCCCAAGGCATCCGAGACTGACGAGTACCAATAAGCCGGAAAAACTCAGACCTGGTTGCCAATGGCTGAAAATCGCTCAACCCAATGCTACTGAAAGGTCCGTGACCAGGTGTTGGGGCTGGCAGTGGGCACTAGGCAGACCACTCTTCGAAGCTGATAATGCCGGTGGCTTTTGTTGACTGAGGGCATTTGCAAGCCTTCTGCCAATGCTACCTTGGTGTGCTTTATCTACTACAGCATACCAGGCTCCATGCTCCGTCTGCAATGACTCCCTGTCTCAATGCGAACCCACTACCTTTAGACTTGCAGTGAAGCAAAGTTGATGCTCAACAACCATTGTCCTCCGAGGTATGAACGAAGATATGGCGAAGATTCGTGTACTGCTTGTCTCATCGGTTGTGATGTGTTGTGATCCCGCACCCTCATGGCGAGAGATAAGCCGTCCCTAGAAATCCAAGGGATGAGACTAGCTCGGCCACCGCGCCAAAGCTAGAGGCCCACATCTCGACTAAACACCTTCCAGATTATGCTAATTCGTTCCATTGGTGGAGACCTGGCTAAAGACTGTCCCTTGGGTAACCGCCGTCACGAAAGTCTTATTGAGGCTGTCACGGTGTCCGACCCAGCGTCGCGGGCTGCTTGGGTATGCCGGATGGATGCGGGTACTCCTCGGCTTGTCTGAAGATTGGATGTGGATTGTAATTGAGACTGCGGCCGAGGTGACTCCGAGCTTAGGAAGTTTTTGTTGGCTTGTGATTGAGTGTACAGTAGTTGGAAGGTATGCTTTTTTCCCCTGGTTGCTTTCCTGAGGTGATAGCGACTGGGAGCGTAGGTCTCTGCGTAGCCTCGTAGAAGCAATTTCGATAGTGATTGGCTGGAATGAAAAAGATCTGTGATCGAAAGCAGTCTGGTCTCACGGGTTTATGCACGCTGTCGCTGTGGAGGATGAAACTAGAAGGCTGAGATGGCGGCCTGTTACTGTGCCTCAGGCACCACTAACACATCTTGTGTGGTACGGGAATACGCACATGACATGGAGAATGCAAACATGACAACCATTGCATACGGTGCAATTAACACCACCATGGCACAACGCCAAGAATCCCACTCCATCACCACCCCAGCCTCTCCCCTCAGTTGACACCTGCCAGACCACAGTCCAGAACAACTAGATTCAGGCATTCAGCACTCCAACTCTAAAGTATAATTCTCTACTTCTACTTCATATTCTATCTCCTTCCCATTCTAAAGTCACCCCGTGTAGTTATGTCCTCGCTCAGTCTCCCCCACTGCGTCACCACCCCTCTATCCTCACCTGCGTCATCCGGTAACGCAGATCTCGCCAAATTACGGTCCACAGGAGAGCCAGACGGTCATCGCATGACATGACACGGCTGAGAGTCTTCCTCCGCCATCACGGGGACCGGGAGGGGAGGGGGGAAGATTACATATACTGAGGACACGAAGAGAGTGTCGCGACGTCATCCACGTGGGGTACAACGCCCATGACGTCACCGCTGGGCTGTCCCCCCTTCGACCTCATCTTTCCATCTTGTTCCTGGCACCTCAACCTTCTGGTTCTGTTTTCCTTTTATACTCCAGACAACGTTACATCTGCCCTCTATACCCGTCATCTAACAAACCTACGCGCGCGTTGCGGTGAGATATCGAGAGCCCACCTATCGAGAGCCCACCTCAGTACGTCGCATTCCTATTCCTCAAATTACAGCGAGAAACGACAGACTAACCAAACAACCAGATCTCTACCCAATCCTCTTTCTTAAACTACATCCACAACCAGAACCACGCTCAAACTCACCCTCAAAATCAACACCGCTCCCCTCCACCACCGCCAACCCGAACACAAACCCGCCCACAATGGCCCCAATCCACGAACGCATCCGCGACGACCTCCTGGCCATGGAACGCCGCCTCTGGACGGCACTGACGTCGGCGGACCCCGGCCCCGAAATCAAGAAGATGTCCAACGATGACGCCAACTTCCTGTTCCCGAAGCGCGACATCCTCACGCTGCAGAGCAAGGACCCGTCCCTCTCGGAGGCGCTGAAGCCGCCCTTCCACCACTTCGAGGAGTACGAGCTCAAGGACGTGCGCGTCCTCATCATCGACCTGATGGCGGGCACGGTCACCTACAAGATCAACGCGCGGCTGCGCGGCAAGATCCACTTCAACGGCACGGGGTCGACGACGTGGAGCCAGGGGTCTGACGGCGAGTGGCGGATCGTGGTGCATCAGGAGACGTCGCTAGAGTAGATTGCCCCCGTCCCTTGCAATCAGCGGGGAAAAAGGAGGAGAACCGTGACGCCTTCGCAGGTTCAGGCATGAGGTTGCCGCATGCTGATTGGTTTTGGTTTTGATTTCGATTTCGCTTCATGATTGATACTCTTTACTGTTTTCCCCGACCTACGATACTTTTTTTTTCTTTGACCTGAGTTGAGGTGTTTCTTGAGGAAGCCAGCGTTGTTGGGTGGGTTACCTCTCCTTCTCTTTTTTTTTGATCTTCTTTTCTTCGACCACTCCGCCATTCACAAACCCCAGTCTCATTCATGTTCCATACTTCCACTTCCGATGTTATTATGTGTATGTGTCATGTGTGATGAAAGTCTCTTTCGATAATTTCTTCTTTTCCTTCCACGCCTTCACGTAAAAAATAAAAAATAAAATAAAAACCACATTATCCTTCCAGGATTTTACGTATAAGCACCACATCCGGCTAGTCGATCGTCGGTGAAGATAAAGAAAAAGCAAACATCCACAAAAACACAAATCTCAATAATTGTACTCCGCCTCCACCCGAGGAGTCTCGAAACCGATAAGATCACCCAATAGTCCAGCAAAGAACCAGCCCCCCTCGGCTGCGGTCTGTCTAGTGATCGACACGGGATACTTGCGCATGGTAATACGTATTAAGGTAGTCCCACTGTTTCCTTACAAGGCTGCTGCATCATAACTACCCCCCCAAAATGGGGCTGTAAGGGAAGGTAACCGCCTCGTTGGGTGGGGAAGTGCTCCATCCGCATTATTCGCATAGTGTTGATGATTTCAAGATGATTGCTGCCGTAGTCAAGGTTCGATACCTTTTTTTTACTGAAACAAAACGCCAAGAATGGGGATAGAGGGGGAATCGCAAGAGATGGATCGAGGAAGAAGAGAAAAAAACGAAGACAAGATAGAAAAGGAAAGAAAGAAAAACGTTTAGCATACGAAATTAGACACCATCTCAGTCAAGATCATTGTTCTTTCCATTTAATGTGTTCATTTTGCTTGAGCAGACGATAGTATAAATCCCATATAGTAGGGTGTGTATCTGCGCGTGATGCCCCGGAGCCTTCTAGGTACAAATTCCCACATGCACATCCATCAAGGATAAAGAAGGAGTATATGTAAGAAGAGAAAAAAGAAAAGAAGATTATCTCCAAAAGGGGAGATAGACGGGGTAGGGGGGAAACAAAATAACACCGGACAAGCAATATGCCAGAGACACAAAAGAGAAAAGGAAGACTAAAATCTAGACACCATTGGAGAACCCATCACCACCAGCCTCAGTGTCAATCCGCATCGCGTCCATCAGTCCACAAACCTCGAACAACTTCTTGGGGCCCATCCCCTCGGGCAGTCCCACGACGCCGTCCTTCTTCAACCGCTCTAGCGCTGCCTTGATGCCCATATAGGCCGGGGTGATGCAGCAGAAGGAAAAGATCATGATGCGGAAGCCCATCTCCTTGGCCTCCTCGGTGGAGATGACGGGCCCGGCGCCGTTCTCGACCATGTTCAGCAGCAGGGGCCACGGGGCCAGGTCCTTGACCGCCTGGCGGGCCATCTCCTTGGAGGTGAACCCCTCGAGCAGGCCGACGTCGCAGCCCAGGTCGCGCGCGGCTTTCAGGCGCTTGATACACTCATCGTAGCCGTGCTGCTGCAGGGCGTCCGTGCGGGCGATGAGCACGATGTCAGAGCGCAGCCGGTCCTTGGTGATCTTCGCCGCCCGCAGACGCGTCAGCCACTCCTCCTGGGAGACGACGCGCTTGCCGGCCAGATGGCCGCAACGCTTGTTGGCAATCTGGTCCTCGATGTGGAAGCCGGCGACGCCGGCTTGGATGTACTGCTGCACCGATTTGGCGACAAACAGGGGGCCTGACAAATTTGTGTTAGTTCTGCGTTTCTGTGGAGATATTATTGGTGGTAGTAGAGGAGTTTGTCCTACCTCCGTATCCGGTATCCATATCAGCAATGAGTGGGGGCCCGTAGGGATCCAGATTGGCTATCATCTCGGCGTTGGTTCGCATCTCGTACAGATGGGCTAGGCCCAGATCTGCCTGTCCGAGCCGGGAGGCAGTAGTGCCGGCTCCGGTCTACAGTGGGTCGTCAGCGCATCCGCCGGGATAAGTATGGGGACCGGCCTGGGGAATTTGAAGCACAAGTCCGGGGGAAAGAGGGGGGGGGAGCCAAGTTACCATGTACATGGCCTTGAAGCCAAGATTCATTGCAATTCGGGCGGACAATCCATCGTATACACCAGGGCAAATGATTAATTCGTTGCTTTCTTTTAATTGCCTGCGTAACTTGGACGCGCCCGTCACCAGCTGGAGGTTGACAATAGGCTCCTGCCGCGAGCCGTTGATATCGTAGTAGCCGTCCTGCTCGACGGTGATGGTGATTGTGTTCGTCATGCTGATGGTGGAGGCGGAGTCAGGGGTATCGGCTACTTTCATTGTTAATAGAGAGAGTGAAGGTGTGATGAGGAAGAGGAGGAGATGAGCTGATGATGATTGAGAGCAATGGACGGGTTAGTCGAGGAGCTTTATATCTATCCATCTGCCTCTGGTCTCGGGGCAATGTCTGTCCGCGAGACAATAATCGCTTGCCATGAGGACAGTGTCATATCGCTGTCTAGAACCGGCATCAGTTTCCTGCAACCCCCTGTCGGATCATACTTGTTGTAACTCAAGGCCTTGGCCGACGATTATCGTCGTCAACTCCGACCAGATATCGATACTAGGAATTCTTGGCCGCTATTGCAGCTGGACACCCCCATCCAGTTCGTCAATGATCGTGATTTGTTCTTGTGATGAGCCGAGCACGCCTAACTGCGATCCGACAAGAAAGCAGATAAGCTCTTATTTCGATGAGGTTCTCTCAATGACTGGCTGGCTGAACTGGAAGAAAATAATACGGGTAGAAGGCTGATAGGGTATAAGGAACGAATACGCGCCTCAAGGGCTCCGATAATGCCTTCCTAGGTTCGCTCTGAATCCTGCGCCGGGGAAGTTTGGTCGTGCCGGGGGTGGTACAGGAGGAGGGCCACCGAGGGGGTGGAGACAGAGCACCAGTTTCCAACCGGACTAGGATGCATGTCAGACATTTGATCACGCACAGAGCTCCCGTCTTCAGAGAATTGTCTCGCTGCCCCCTCTCCTCCAGCTTTTCTGGGTCGCTAGTCCGCGGTGTTGATTGGTGACTGGCCACGCTGATCTGCACGAATAGAGTCGTAAGCGGCTCGGCTGATGCACCGGAAGTTAAACGGCATCCCACTACGGAGCTTGGGGCAGTCTTGCCGTGAAGGACGTGGACCCATGGTTGGCGGAGAATCCGGGCAGCAGTAGTGTCGGAGGTAATCAGTCAGGATGGAGGGGGGTGAAGGATGGTGGATGCGTGCTGATAGCTACAAAGAAATCCGACGGCAAAGCCGAAGTCTCACTGGATAGCTGCACTGGGTACTATCATCGCCGAGATTAGACTGCATTCACGCGCAGGGGCCAAGTAGCTTGGCACGTTGCTCGTGTCAGTCTCGACCTTGACGCCATGCGCTCGCTGATCACTTCTCTTCTAGTGCTATAGCTGGTGGTATACACTCCGCGTGTTGTCCGTCTGTGACCAATTTGTGTAACCGACTGGATCGTAAGACCTCGCAAGGGGTTCGACCCGGAGACTTGGTCTTGCGCAGGAACCAAGTGCCCGATGCGGCGTCGAAGAACGGCCTGTTTCGGTTGGGTGGTGGATAGCCCACTGCTTGGATGGCATAATTGCGAATGTATCGCCTCGAAAGGCCGATCATACAGAGATTATCGACGAGAATCCATAGGGCTATACGAGACGAGAAGGAGGAGCAGGAGGCAGAGCATTGGCAGGAGTAGAGTGAGGACTCAGGTAGTAGGCTCGGACCACAATGGACGTCGCGCGCAAATCACCCGATTGGTCGTTTAGCGTAGATTGGCCGAAGCCAGCTGTTCCGCTCAACTCCGTATTTGTCCGGCTTGGCCGCCCTGAAGCTGTCGCTAAACCTCCGCGGCAGGACCCGTTGCCTATCTTCTGGTTCAGGACATTCATGCTCAGCTCAGCTCACCTCACTTTGCTCATGCTTTACTTCCCCACATCGTAAGAGAAAAGTGGGAGAGGCACTGCTCAGCCTTGGGGCAACATGAAAAATTCTCCACGAACTTGGCCGACAGCATCGTCTGGGGAGGGCGATGGGTCCGCAGTGGGTCTCAGCATTCTGCAGTGTTGATTGCACCTTAGCCCGATACTAGCATGCGCACACGCCAACATGACCCATTAGGCATCTTCGGAGTGATGAAGTGAGAGGGGTTCGGAAGAGCACAAATCCGTCGATTACTGTTCACAGCTGGTCCGGACTTCAATTACCCATGCGTGTTTGACACGGCGTGCGGCGTCTCGATCATTCTCCGCGACAAGCAGTGCTTTCCAGCGCAGGGCGCATAATCATTCATTTTCTGGGCTACAATGTGGTGGGCGGAAAGGGCCAAATCGTGTTGCGCGTGATCGACAATTTCGTTCACGAGCGCCAAGAGGACCCTGAGCATTCTTGGTGGCAATGAAGGGGCCACCTCGCTTGTCACAGTTGCATTCCCTTTGAGAGACAGAATTTTGACTCGATTGGTTCGAATCCGACCGCACAGGTCGAGGAATCGCGGTGAGATGCTCTAGCCGTCAGTATCGTAGGCAGCAAGTCAGATCCGTGACCACTTAGTCAACCAGCTGTCATGCTTCGTATTGGGGCTAAAGCAGGTAAGTTCGCAGCACAATTTCCCTGACATTCTCTCTCCAGAGGGAGTCTTGCATCGGTTCTGACCGTCATTGTGCCCCTACAGCGACCCAGGGGTTGTGATCCGCATATCCGTATGGCACCCACGAGTGTCGGAAGTATTTCTCCAGCACCACCTGCTGGTAGGTCATGTCGTCGACACAATACCCGCCACCACTGGGCCCAATATGAGGACAATGTACGGGCGGGTTGAATCGTACCATGTTGTCGTGCACTTCGCGACACAGCAAGGTGTTCCGGCCCATCTCGTACGGCAAGCCGAAGCGGACTCTCTGGGTCAGGAACACAACACAATCCTCCTTAGAAGCGTACTGCTGGTTTGCTCCCTGACAGTGATCCTGATGTGTCTGGCAGATGGTGTCTGCAAGCAAAGCAGCTACTCTATTCTGAATCTGGACTGAATCGTTCAGATGGAACATTTTTCTCGCTGCCTGCATGAGAGGAACGAAGAGATAATCCAGCCAGCGGAAGACGGCGTCATACTGAGTGATCTTGCCGGAGGAGTCGTACTGGAACCAGGTGTCAATCACGGCGGGGACCACCAGCTGGAAGGTGGTGATGTTGAAGGTGATGAGGGTGGTGGCTGCAGCGGTGTTGTCGGTGGCCGCGAACTGGGTGATGTTGTACGCGATAGGAGGCCCGAAGATTCCGGGGTGGTCAGGCTGAGAAAAGAGACCGAAGATATACTCGTTGTTGAGTTCCCGACCGTCGAAGGTGCGAGTTGCGTGAACACGGCCTTGGACCTGCGATGGGGAGGGGATTAGAGAGATGTGGAAGCTGTAGAAGTTGTGCGGGGAAGGCAGAAGTTTGATGTCTGGAGAAAGCGGGACGGCACGGAGTAAATACTGTACAAAACGGGCAACCACCAGCCGTCCAGTTGGCCGTGTGGGCCGTGTTGGCCGTAGTACCCGTCATTGGTGGAGATGGACAGGAACAAGTGTGAAGAGAGATTGAGAATACGATCCATTGCAACCGAAAATAGCACAATAGCACCTACATCGGCTGCGAAGATAGAGGAGTCGTTGGCGTCGATATGACCCCGGTTAGTGGGATAGAGGAAGTTCTGCCAGAAATAGGTCTGCAATATCCACAGCTCGTGATAGGAGTAATGAGTGCCGTTGGGGCTGGCACTAACTACAGTGCTAGCGATGAAATGGTATAGCAACAGGAGAAGCACCAACATGGTGCGGCAAAGTTGAAGAATCGATTAACTCGAAGATGCCTAGTGTCCGCTCTAACACAACACTACGTCTGCAGCCTGCCAGTACCTATTTATATCTGTCTGCCTCCATCCCGTCCTTGAAGGTGTCAATGCGCAGAGATCCCTTGGGGTCCTCAACCAAACATCAATCCTGGTCGACCTGCGAGTATCATTGAATGGGAGTCTAGTCTGGCTGTTATTTCAACTCTTGAATGTCATCCAGCAACCACAATCATTTTATCCGACCCGCCCTCCCTCTAACCGATGCATGCCTTTGCCTGCTGAGCAACGGGATGCCATGTGATGAAGCCGCAAACATGCACGATCCTGATGGGCCCAATTCACTCCGACAGTTCTGCCTTTCCTCAAATGAGGATCGACCCTGAGGGCAAACCATGTCCGATCCGCATGGGTGTCAGGTCAGAAGAGGAGTCAGATTGGCTCTTCGTGCAATATGCCCCTTGGTGAACTGTCAGATGACAATCTCGGTCCGGGGTGAAGGGTAAGCTGACCAACTCTCGGGATAGAAGTCCACCATGCCTAAGATGGGCAATGCTTTGAGGGGCGGCGCAGAACTTGGGCAGTCAATTTGCCGAATCTTTCGGCAGACGATTGTGAAATGGCGGTGGCTGTACGTGATGATGGGATGCTGTGCGACCCCGTTGGAATTGCAATATGACGACATGCGGCATCCCAGCGATCAGAACAGAGACTGAGGGCAAACTCAGTTCAGCCAGGCCCAGGCGGAGGATTACAGCTCTGACAGGATCATCTGGGTGGCTGAAATTGTTCACCCAGACGCCAAGTCAAGAAATTCACAGTTTTCTGGCTTATGCAAGTTTGCAAGAACAAGGAGGCCGAAGGAGGTTGATGCGCCATCCCGCCATATCGAAGAGTCACAAGTGCGCCATCAGATATATCAGTCATCACCACTGAAGCGATCACTAAGTAGCATAAGCCGGATCGGCAGTGAAGGTTCGAGTTATCAAGAGCGAAGCTGACAGAGACTTATCTCTCTTCTTCGGATCAGTCGTTCCCCGCATTTCCGGTCGGAACACATTCCGAGGTGCGGAATGCTCACGGAATCAGTGCGGGGCAGCCTTATGCTCCCCGGTAGCCTGCTATATTAGAAGTATATCCTCCAGCACAACAGCTTGCATCGAGTCTGCTTGAATTACTTTCTCAACCAGAGCTACAGCACAATGGCCTCCATCACACTTACCGGCTCCAAAGGCCGTCAAATCGAAGGTACCGGCGATATTCCCCTCTACAACTCCCCATTATCGACATACCACTGACAGAGACCTTCTACAGTCCCAACCACCCTCTTCATCAACAACGAATTCACCCCCGCGGCCAGCAATGCCACTCTGGCTGTTGAGAACCCTACCACCGGCAAGATTCTCGCAGACGTCTCCGCAGCCAGCCCGGAGGACATCGACCGCGCAGTCAAGGCAGCGACGGCCGCCTTCCCCGCATGGAAAGCCACGCCGGGGCCCGAGCGCGCCGCGCTGCTCCACAAACTGGCGAGTCTAATCGAGCGGGACGCAGAGGAATTCGCATCCATCGAGGCGCTGGAGGGCGGCATTCTGTACACGGACAGTTTGGGTCTGAATGTGCCGCAGGCCGTGTCGACCATCCGGTACTACGCAGGGTGGGCAGACAAGATTGACGGCAAGACGCTGCACATCCCGGGAGGCGTGGCCTATACTTTCCGCGAGCCCTTAGGGGTCTGTGCGGCCATCGTACCTTGGAATGGACCACTGTAAGTATGATGATCTTCTGCACTGCATTGCTGGACATTCGACACGGACCCTGACATTTATCCAATCCCCTTTCCCCTCACGCTCCCCCGAAACCTGGAAATCACATACTGAAAAAAACCTGCTTCCAGAATGATAACAGCCTGGAAACTCGCCCCCGCCCTCGCCACCGGCAACACCCTGATCATCAAACCCTCCGAACTGACCCCGCTCAACGCCCTCAGACTGGCCCAACTGATCCGCAAAGCCGGATTCCCCCCGGGCGTGGTCAACATCGTGCCGGGCGACGGCCCCTCCGCGGGTGCCGCGCTCTCCCACCACCCGCACATCCGCAAACTCTCCTTCACCGGCTCGACCGCCGCGGGGCGCGCCATCCTCCGCGCCTCGGCCGCCAGCAACCTCAAGCAAGTGTCGCTGGAACTCGGCGGCAAGGGCCCGAGTCTCGTCTTCGCGGACTGCGACCTGGCCAACGCCCTCCTCTGGACGCGCATCGGCATCACCGCCAACAACGGGCAGATCTGCGCCGCCGGGTCGCGCATCTACGTCCAGCGGCCCATCTACGAGCAGTTCCTGACAGCGTACGCGCAGGCCGCGGCGGAGAACCAGCCCGTCACCGGGGACCCGCTGGAGGAGACGACCACCAAGGGTCCCGTGGCCAGCAAGGCGCAGTTCGAGAAGATCCTCGGGTACATTGCCGAGGGGAAGAGCTCAGGTCGGCGGTTGTTGTTCGGCGGAGAGCAGGTCGGGAAGAAAGGGTATTTCGTGCAGAACACGGCGTTCGCGGATGTGGGCCAGTCGGATAAGATCATGCAGGAGGAGATCTTTGGGCCGGTTGCGGTATGTTCTGTCGCGGTTCCTAACCTTTCTTTCGTCTTTTGTCGCCTGTGTTCTTTGCTGGACTGGATCTAACGCGGTGAGAACAGAGTATCGCCCCCTTCGACACGGAGGAAGACGCTATCCGCCTGGCCAACGATTCGCTGCACGGGCTGAGTGCGGCCGTGTTCACCAACGACATCAACTGCGCGCATCGGGTCACCGCCGCCCTGGAGACGGGCCAGGTCACGGTCAATGCGTGGTCGCTGCTGAGCGCCAATGCCCCGTTCGGCGGTGTCAAGGAGAGTGGGTTCGGTCGGGACATGGGCGAGGAGGCGTTGGACTGCTGGACGACCGTCAAGTCGGTCAAGTATAGCATTGCGCCGCGGTTGTAGTTCTACCTACCCTGTGATCTTAACGTCGTCATGCAAGCTGTTTAAACTTTTAAGGTTTTTCCAAACAACAGAGGGTGAGTGTTTACACTTCAAAACGACAACACAAAAGCTCACTTGCTCCATCTCTGTAGGTGTAATCTGTACTTTAAAAGCAGAGGGGAGAGTCTGAGACCACTTCTCTTTACTTCTGGCAGAGCGCCTAACAACTCGGGAGGTCTTAATGGACGCCTCGGGTCGGATTCTCAAGAATGCAAGTCCTTTGAACGATGGCCCCGACAGGATGAAGCTCGCATGGCTATCTGAGGTTTTTCAAGAACAATGCAGAAGGTTGTGGTAGGGAGCCCTAAAGAATTACCTACAGCTTTTCTAGCAGCAGTAATCAGTATGTGTGAATTTTGCATGCCATTTGAGAATGATATTCTCAACTCTGTTCGCATATGATTCGGGAGATATGTCAGTAAGCTTGGGTCGAAGAACGTGGTGTTGAGAAAAACATTGTATCATGATCCACACAGATTACAAGCACTCGAGCTACGAAATAAGCGGACCATTCAAGGGGCTAGGTAACCAGAAACCACATTGCCAAAATCTTATACCGGAGATCATACTAAGTAGAACTCCCATGCACATGGGAAGCGCCTGGCACCGCCACAACCAAGCTGTAACTTACCAGCCACAATGTGGCTGATGAATCATAACCAGGTCGGTTCAAGAAACACGGTCACAATTCCTCTTATGACCGGAAAATATACCTGCAGATACAGGCCATAATTCCTCTCAGATCCCCTCTCCTCTGATAAGATATTTTCAACCCAATATTCCGAGCAACTCTAACCTCCTGCAAGATCGGATCTGCGCCGTCAACCGGAAAAAGTTAGAAGTCAAGCCAACCCCAAAGCTACAAACCATTCGATAAACTATAGAGTAACAAACTCTTTCCCTTACTCAAGCCACAAGAATAGCCCCAACAATGGATCACGAGAGGAGCATTATCCCCCCACTCCCGGGCCTTGCCATCCCACGCCTCGTATCCGAACAAGCTGCATTCCACCCTCCCTTACAAGATAGTCCCCTCTGCACCGTACCCTGAACCACATACTAGCTCAACAACCACCATTCCAGAAGATTATGAGGCTTTTGCGCCGGAAAACTTCCGGAAAACCTACATCCACCCTAATGCTCCCTTTTCTTCAGTACACACGAGGTCGCTCCACCCGAATCCTTCAGCACGGAGCAAAGGATGAATATGGTCATTGGCCGGTATTCCTTCTCCGAACAAAGCCCGAGCCGTTGTCTTGCTTTTCCATTGAATAAGGTTTTGGAAATTCCATAGCTTCAGAAACGGTGTGCAGCCTCTGGAAAGGGTCGTGGGTGCTGCATCGGAAGTCCAGCCCCGTACGTACCACAGCATAGTTGTGTCCCATACGATGCGGCGATTTGTGCCCGCTTAATCAGCAGTAATGCATGCATTAGCTAGCAAATCACGAGTAGTCGAGTCATTCAACCACCCCATCTACGACTACGTCTTCGCAAGACTGACATGGCCATGACCGCTGATCCCAGCAGCACATACACAAAAACAGCGCACTGCGTGAGTTATTATTATCAATCTTTCGAAACCTGCGAGCGCTGATCCCGTATCCACCATGGAAGAACAATATCCACTCCCCGTGGATCATAACCTCGCTCATTAAGATGGAGATCCCGCACAGCGCAGTGCATTATGCCCAGTCTTCTACGCATAAACTACAACTCCATCATGTCTCAAGTATAGGATTCAACTCTGATGTATCCATATACACCATCTACAACCCCCATCTTGGCAGTTCACCTGTTGCTATCTGAACAGGAATCATTTGGCGAACCGGCCTCTGCCAAGGTACTCGGTAGGCAAGAGTCCTCGGGAGTGGACGCGGTGTGGGGCGGCAAGTTTGGGGTAAGCCGGGAGTCGGGACTGACGCGCCTCACCTCACTGGCCCCGGCCATGACAATAGGTTTCTGATAATGTTAA